TAGAATGGATTATCTCCTGCTCTGTTAATAGCTTTCTAGACACTGCAGGAGCCTCCTTTATGTAATTAAAGTTCAATTTACAGAGCTGGAGATAAAAACTTTTAAAGTAAGTTACAGCTGATTGAAAGTGAAAACTTTTTTTTTTCTTGCAGGCTGTGTCAGTCACATCCAGGGGAGTTGTTATCACAGCTAGGGCTGAATAAACAGCAACAAAAGGAATGTAACTCATAAATGACTGTAAATTGAGCAGTGAAACTTCAGAGGCATGTATACACCAAAAAACGCATTGTTAAGCTAAAGTTGTTTTGTTGACTACAGTGTCCCTTTAACTGTTTAGAGTTACTCTCAAGGTTAAAGCCAGACTAGCTGAACTACACCAACATGCTTCATTAAGCTTTATGTTTTAATTAAAGGGACACTATAATCAATCATAGTTGTTTTGGTGACTATAGTGTCCCTTTAATTAAATCATGCATGTTTTCATTTGAACATGAAAGCTAGAATAGCTTTAATTTGTGAATATGTTTGTGCATTTCTGAAATTTACTAACAATTCACTCTATGAATCGTGCATACTGCTAATGCTACATTTACTTACATTTTGTTTGTGATATTCCCACCGCTATCTTCTCTGGCGTTTTGTTTTCTTGTTACTATGTATAGCATACTGTGTATCATCCAATAACCAGACATAGTTTAGGGTACATTATAGTAATTAGCTATTGTATGGGGAAAAAATGTGTCCATAAAAATTCTACCAGAAGCCAAAAAGTGTATGTTTTCGCACACTGCAGAAAATTTGTAGAATCATAAAGGAGAATTCAGTTTGGATGGTATTTTCTGTGGGTTTTTTTGCGGGGGGAAGAGGGGAGTTAGAGAAATGGATTATCACAGGAAATCCATCAATGTGTACTAAATGAACCTTGTCTCATATTATTCATTTTATACCTTCTATTCTAATTTGTTTTGTTTCTAAGCGAAGATGTCTTTCCAAGTCTGGGTTTTATCCGCTGTCTGTTCCACTCTACTGAAAGGAGGACATCCACCAAGTAAACTATGGTTTATAAACAGAATATTATATATTATTCAATATTAAATGTAAGAACTGTGTAATACTGGAACAACATGGAGTGCGCAACAAGACCTCGAACCACATAGGAATCTTTTCGGCAGTGATATAGTATGAGTGAGATAAAGACTTATATCCCCATCATCCAAAACTGTCATCACATAGCAATAGATGTGGAACGCAGCACAGAGGTGATACCATCCTAATAGTGATGTCCCGAACGGTTCGCCGAACGGTTCGCCACGGATGGCGAACATAAACATAAACTTTGACCCTGTACCTCACAGTCAGCAGACACATTCCAGCCAATCAGCAGCAGACCCTCCCACCTCCTGGACAGCATCCATTTTACATTCATTGTGAAGCTGCATTCTTAGTGAGCTGTTCCCTCGCCACTGCCAGCCTGGGGGCCCTGAGGTGGCCACCTGGCCAGCTCCTGGCCCCCCAGGACAAGAGGCTAGCAATGCATTTGCCAGGGTGATTGGGGGGCGGCTTTTTTTGCCCCCAGAAAGTGCCACCCAATGCTAATGCCTTGTTTGCCTCGGGGTTAATACACCCCTGGGTAAGACAAAAAGGTACATGGAGATTGTGGCATTTAGAAAGGAAGGGCTGGCAGGGGGTGGGGAGTATTTGCCTTTTGGGCCACTAGTATGGAGAGAACTATGAGATACTGACACACAGCACAAAGTAAACTATTATTGTAACTGTATTATTATTATTATTATTATTTCCTTCTAGTGTTGGTATAAAACTTTGTTTAAAATTTAAGAAAGAGAGTGGAGTTTGATGGTTTTGCCCCAAATTGGGCTAATTGTTTGTAGTTGCCTCCAAGCTAAATGTAGCCCGTCCTCCCCTGCGATAGACCCCTGAAAGCAAACTTAAGCCCCCATAGGTCCTACGCTCTGACACTTTATTCTTCATTTCATTCGCCTTTACATCCTCGTCCTTGATTGCAAGCTCATCTCTTTGCTTCTGTATCTCTCGACAATATTTTGTTGGGAGAGAAAATAAACTGATCCAGATACTCAAGGATATAATAGCAGCTTTATTTAGAGCAAAGCAACAGCAACGTTTCGACCCAGCAGGGTCTATGTCAAGCTTAAGTGGGCAGATCTATTATTATTATTACTATTATTGCCATTTATATTGCGCCAACAGATTCCGTAGCGCTTTCCAATATTATGAGAGGGGGGATTTAACTATAAATAGGACAATTACAAGAAAACTTACAGGAACTATAGGTTGAAGAGGACCCTGCTCAAACGAGCTTACATTCTATAGGACGAGCTTACAGTCTATAGGACTAGCTTACATTCTATAGGACAAGCTTACAGTCTATAGGACGAGCTTACATTCTATAGGACGAGCTTACAGTTTATAGGACGAGCTTACAGTCTATAGGACTAGCTTACATTCTATAGGACGAGCTTACATTCTATAGGATGAGCTTACAGTCTATAGGACGAGCTTACAGTTTATAGGACGAGCTTACAGTCTATAGGACTAGCTTACATTCTATAGGACGAGCTTACATTCTATAGGATGAGCTTACAGTCTATAGGACGAGCTTACATTCTACAGGATAAGCTTACAGTCTATAGGACGAGCTTACATTCTATAGGATGAGCTTACAGTCTATAGGACGAGCTTACATTCTATAGGACGAGCTTACAGTCTATAGGATGAGCTTACATTCTATAGGACGAGCTTACAGTCTATAGGACGAGCTTACAGTCTATAGGATGAGCTTACATTCTATAGGATGAGCTTACAGTCTATAGGACGAGCTTACATTCTATAGGATGAGCTTACAGTCTATAGGACGAGCTTACATTCTATAGGATGAGCTTACAGTCTATAGGACGAGCTTAAAGTCTATAGGATCTACATTTATTTTCTATATCTCGAAGTGAGACCTGGCCGTCCTCAGGTCCTGTGCACCCTGGAGAGTGCGGTATCCATTATCTTTTTGACAATATTTTGTTGGTCACTTACTTGCTGTTATATATCTTTAAGGCACTACAGACTATGTTGGTGCCATAGAATTCCTAATAATAGTAATATGTTTCTGTTTTAATGCTGTGCAAATTCTGCTATCCTCTCTAACTTGCCTTCCTCTTCACAAAGAGTAAAGAGAACGCAGGGAAACTAAACCAACAAGCTGGTAATTGGAAAAATATTGAAAGGCTTAAAGAGCAATGAAGAATTTTAATCCTACCTCTTATCTAAAAAAAAATTAAAAAAAATCTGACATTTAACCACCTTCCCCCAGACAAACAATGAATTAATCCGTCATTGCCCTGCAATTCATCTTGTCTAGTATGTTTCGCTTTTTTTCCTTTTTACTTGTGTAATCAGCAATTCATCCTAAAAACAGACTCTTTACTAGTAATTGGAATATAGAGGGGCAAAAAAGAATTAGTTATCCTTGTGATTGGGCTTAATGGAGAGAATTAACCTTATCACCAGGGATCAGAATTCCAAGATGCTTGGCTTAAATGTACTTGAGGTCCTATCTGTCCCATAATAGTAGATTAACCTGTGACAGGGGAGAGACCACCCAAAAATAGACGACACTATTCTATCTGGAGTTGCAAGCTGTGCAGTTGACAATCACTGGTGATAGACTGTCTGGGATAGGACTTGCCATTTAGTAAACATTTAATGTATAGAGTAAAGGTTCCTGGATAGTAAGGAAGGAGATAAGAAATTAAGAAAGAAATGTGAAACCAAATACAATTTATATATACGGTATGTGTACCAGGAAGGAGAGCACTCACTGGTCTTGTTTCTGGATAATTCAGATTTTTATTAAATGAGGTTACAGGATACATAATGGATTCTGGATTCTCTACTGCAAATCTGTAGGTTATCACAGAGCAGGTAGTTTGCTAATCTCTGTCCCTGGACCTGCTATCGTTTGAGACGTAAAATGAATGGAATAAAAACAAGTCAAGGGTTGAATAAAAGATTTGGAGAGATTCCTGTCCTGACGATTTCTGGATTATGAGGGCCACAGTTTTTTAAAATAGTCACCAATTATGTTTGGTTTTCAATCCATAGGACTCAGGTAGATGGAGGAGATTGTGATTCAGATCTTCCAGCACGTGAGACATAGGCCTTGATTTAATTAGTCTGAATCAGAATCAGAAAACATTCCAATCTGGAGCAAAAAAAAAAAACTTTTCAAATGATTTATCTTCAGACGTGACTAAAAAAATAGATTTTTGTAGAGAAATCATTTGAAAAGTATTTTTTTTCTAAATAATTGTAATTATTTCTGTTTCTGATTCAAACAAATTAAAATCAAGACCACAGCAGTCTCACATTGGATACATACTAAACAGGATCTGGGGTTGGGGTAACCCAGAAAATACGGTGCATCGTCTGATATTAACGATCTACTTAAATAATTGCGTGTAAAGCAGCAAGTGTGAGCCGTCAGACTCAACCAGAAATCCACATGTTTCATACAAATTGGCATCGTCCAACTTAATGATCTTCGTTTATTGATCATCATTTTAAGGAACCAGTAGGCACCTCAGTTGGCAAACTACCATTCCAACGATGCTCGTGGAAAATCATTAACAAACATATGGGGTTCAGAGGTTGACTACCATTCAACTCTAGGCCATAATAAGTTGGAGATCTGGACCCATTGCATATGGTTAGTTTAACCAATTATACATAGTTTAATATTACTAAGAACAATCATTTTTAACATTAAAATTATTTTATATAAAAATAATTCATTTGTTGATTTGGATTGTCATTCCACAACACCAGCATCATTGGATTTTTTTTTATAGTTATACTTTTTCACATTTATTTACAGTATTTTATGTTCGCTTTTTATCTCTTGTTTTGTTTTTGATTACCAGGGCAGAGCCTCTCTCTTTCGTAATTATTTGTTGTCCCTTTAAGTAACAAGCAGTTACTGTGCCTTTAAGCAGACTTACTGACACTGTGGATTCCCAGAGAATGTTACAGATTGACAAGGAAGCAATGAATGAAACAGTGTGTTCTATGCAGTACATATACCAAGATTTGACTTGGATTTGTACAAGTTTATTGTATCCTTGCACATGTCTACAGAGAGTATACACAGTATACATACATATATACATACAGCCCATAACTTGGCTTTTAAAACTCCTTTTGCTACATCACAAACAATGCAAAAGAAATGTATAAAATATAAACCTAAAGAACATAGAAATGGAATAAACACACTTTCTGCTTTTTTTTTCAATGTTAGTTAGTCACATTTTCCGTGTCGTGGATTTCGTGTCCATAATCACTATATCTTAAAATTAAAGTAGTATGATCCAGAATCGGGCATGCGTCAAATTGGGATAATGAGAAAATAACCTTTATAATAGATTTCATTTTTTTAATAATATAACAGTTACTATAAAAAAAAAATTGTTTCCACCAAATTTGAAAAATGCTCTGAAAGAAAAAAAAAAGTAAAATTTAAGTTTACAATTTGTGATGTTTACTATTTACTTATAATTCCAAGAAACCTTCTAGAATTTGGCAGCTAAATTTAGTCATTTCAGTCTTTGATATTTGTGGCATTACATGGGGATTTGTGATTTCAAATACACCTGATACAAAAAAAATCACCTGAAATCACATTGTTGTATTCACAAGGTGTTAAAACATGAACTAAATGCTTAGGGCTTACCATCTAAACACAGAACTGTGGAGGTACGGCAACTGGATCACATATAGGACAAAATAGCTACATTGTGAAAACAGTTTACAAAACAGCTATTCATTTTACATTTTTTACATTTGTCAAATTCACTAATTAGTGAATTAAAACTATCGTTAGAAAAGTGCATGTTTCCTATCACTTGAAATGGCAAGTAATGTGTTTAATATAACACTTACATTTACTATGAACTATGTCAAACAAGCACAAAAGCACCAACAGGTGACTCCGAGACGTGACAGTTCAGTGTGTCACTAGGCTGGAACTCAAAGGGTTACATTTTAACTCCTTGCATCCTTAGATGCTGCATGGTAGGTATGTTGTAACTATGTTTTCTACAGTACAGGTAAGTTCTCTGTGTCAGCGATAGCCCGACGTGGTAACAGAAGTGGAGATTAGACTTTAGCATCTTGTATTAAAAAAAAGAAGGCTCTGTACGTATTAAGCTTTGTATCATCTGCTGGAATGAAAATATGAGACAGGTTGTATGAAATACTATTGATATATTATATCACAGCCCTTTTAATTACCGTAAAGAGGCACTGTAACTGCTTCATCTCGTTAAAGTGTTTATTGCGTCTCCAGCACCATCCTTCCATTCAGCGTTAAACTGTTTTCAATGTTTTAATGCTAAAAGAGAGGAATCATTGGCCTGAGCAGCAATGTACGGCTTTGATTGGCTGAGAGTGTCAGCTGACTGCTTTCAGCCTATCACAACTCCAATTGCTGGTATGAATTGGTATGACTAGAAGGAAGTGTATGATTTCTGCCTTAGTCACACCTCCAGTGGGGCCTGGACTTACGTAGTGCTAAACTGCTAAAAATGGTTTAACACTGATAAAGGGGACATAGCCAGGGGTTTCCAGGCACTATGAACAACTCAATACAATGAAATGGATATAGTGCCTATAATGTCCCTTTAAGTCATGTGAGAGTTATTTGGGGATCACTAATGCTGAGTGCCACAATTAAATGTAAATGAAATGTCTTAATCTCAGCATGTATAAACACAATAAAGCCTCTCTCTTCTCTCTATCATCCTATTTATGAGGTACACGGAGGTAGATTAAGAAGGAGATTTGTATATCCCTGCACTTACCATAAAGCTTTGTAATAATCCATTTAATCTTTCACATATGCTACATAATGATAGGCTGAACATATCATCATAAAGTACACAATAATCCTATCTATTCCAACATATCAGACTGGAATTATCTGGTGGGACCATGTTTCAAACACAACAAATCGGTCTGATTCTTTGGTGGGTACAATAGAAGGTCTATGTCTTTTTTGGCTGAATTCGAGATTTATCCATCAACCTTCTTTATAGTTAATTGTTCTTATACTTTATTTCAAAATATTTTCGGTGGGCAAGCTAGTATTGCTTCTCTACACTGTGCACTTAGTTACCTCTTATTTTTTTTACAAAATGACCCATATTATGTTCTATCTTTACCATTGTATCTTTTCAACTATTTTTCAGTAAATTAAAATTGGATAATAAGAGAGTAATAGTACTTCTACTTTTCAATTAAAGATGTAAGGACACGTAAAACTTTGAAATGTCTCTAAGATTTTGAGACTGGACTGGATCAGTAACATACCTGAGATAATTTGGCTGATTCCATGTGCACAAAAGTGTTGACAAAACAATGGTACCGGTACCGGTGCCTATATCGGGTAAATTCTTCACAAAACCATGTGGATCATTACAACCTCCCCAGAGTTTTTATTTTAAACTCTAGGAAAGTCTGAGATACATAGACCTTAGTATAATATATTTACAATGCGGGATTGTCCAGCATCAACGTTAAAAAAAAAATTGTAGTAACAAAACACACTAGTAAGAAGTGCAAAGCAATAGCCTGGTCTTCATCTACATTTTCCCTCACTTGTTTACAATTATCCTTCTGCTTTGGAGTTCAAAATGCAAAATGTATTTCTTTGGTCACAGTACATGGAGCGACGTCAAATCTAAACCCTTTAATTGTGTCACTTCTCCATTGCACGGTAATTCAGTGCTGAAATCTGGGTGACGAACACCTCTCCTACTGAGCACCACAGTTTAATTAAGCTGCCTTTTGTCTCCTTTCAAAGGAGTCAGCATCGATGAAGATTGCAAAAGTCCAATTCCTGAGGCTTCCTCTTCAAGTGACAATGCTCTCTGGGTAAGGTTACCCCTCCACCTGCGCTACATCTCAGTTGCCGTCTTTTAAACCCACGACCACAGCTTTTGGAGCAGGGTGTCCATGCCCCAGCCTCCCACATTGGACATGGGTCACCACACAGTCTCATGTCCGTTGGCCGCAGAGCTGCCAGGCAATCAGATGCAAGTTGTTCCCAAGGGTCACGGCACTCAACTGATCTGGTCTGTTGGCCATTGCCGCATGTAACTGAGCAGAGACCCCAGTTACCTGATGTCCATTGTGACTGAGGTTTGACTCTTGGAGAAGGAGGGGGTAGACCTTCCAAGCTATTGCTTATTGACTGTCCGACTTTCCCATCTCTTTTTTCCCTGGGGATATAAAAGGAATATCTCAACCGCGGAGGAGTCATTTTACCGACACATAACACTTCTATTGTGAGTGGCTCCTGAATGACATTGGTAGCCTGTAATACTTCCACTGCAGTACCCGTACCACTGTATTTCAGCAGGCTCCCTTTAATAGGGATATCACGCTCCACCGCCGATACAATGTAATTTCCGTTCAACAGATAACGACTCTGGCCATTCTTTACTGCGAGATAATTGTCATCATTTATCAATCCTTTATACCCGCGCTGACGTACATCCACATTACTGGCACCAGCTGGGACGGTCACCACAAAGTTATAGCCATGTCTGCAAAGAAATATATAGGGAAACATTTTAAAATTAAACTTGTAGATGAGATACATGAGAAATAATGAATCAAAAATATAAAAGACATTTTTGACAGCCAAGACAGAGTGAGTTCAACACAAGGTCTCTGCGGAACGGTCAATTCTAAATTCAGCAGATCAGAGAACAGTGGTTTTGCAGACCATATATATGTGAGTTGCGAAGACAGGTACCCCAAACGAGTCACGTTTTATCTACAAAGCACTAGATATGAATGGTATTTGCCGAGTAGTACTCTGAATTTTAACTACAGAGCTAATGGCTGAACATCCACTGCAGAGTAATCACTATTTTAGGTGCAGAGTGGTACCCAGAATTTTAATTACACAGTGGCACCAGTGATTATCGATTACCAATGGTGGAGGCACTATAACATACTCAGCATTTTACTTACAATGAACTACTCATAAAATCTATTTACAGACTGGTGGTCCAAATTATAACTTCAAAACTACCCCAGGAGGATTAAAGGGACAGTATAGTCACCAAAACAACATTGGCTTAATGAAGCAGTTTTGGTGTATAGATTATGCCCCTGCAGTCTCACTGCTCAATTCTCCGCCATTCAGGAGTAAAAATAATGTATAAACAAAGTATAAATAACGTTGTTTATACAGCCCTGGACACCTCCCCTGCCTGTGACGTATGCAGCCCTCTAAAACACTTACTGCAAAGAGTCATCTAATGGTTACACTTCCTTTGTTGCAAATTCTGTTTACTTTAGAATTCCGTATCTCCTACACTGTTAATAACTTGCTAGAGCTCGCATTAGCCTCCTGTATGTAATTAATGTTCAATTTACAGAGCAGGAGATAAAAAAAAAACTTTTCAAATAAGTGACATCTGATGGAAAATGGAACCAGGCAGCGGAGGTGTGGCGAGGGCTGCATAAACAGAAACAAAAGTGGTTTAACTCCTAAATGGCAGTGAATTGACCAATGAAACGTCAGAGCCATGATCTATTAACAAAAAACGCTTTGTTAAGCTTAAGTTGTTTTGTTGACTATAATGTCCCTTTAACTGTTTAGAGTTAATCTCAAGGTTAAGGCCAGAATAGCTGAACTGAAAGCATAGCTGACTTAGAGAACTCTCCCATTTGTTTTTTTTGACGTAGAGTTTGAAATTCATGTTGAATTTTCACTTTAGTGAGTAAGCCTGTCCGGGGTTTTGGCTACAGAAAGCAGCCTCATGCTTTGCATTCAACAATGGTCAGAGAGCTGTCACAAGGTCAGTTTGTTTTTATGCAATACACATTTACTATTACGTTTACTATTAACAGATAGCTACTTCAATAAGAATACGCTGTGTGCCCTTACTTGATCTCCAGGTTAAATTGGAGAGAAACTCTCAGAGAGTCTGCTAGACATTTTTCCCATATGATATATGCTCCAAATCCTTGGCCTTGCTTCCATTTAGGAAAAGGACGGTGTAGCTCTCCAGAGCCTTATACTATGGAACATTTTATTGCCAAGACATAGTTTATTAAAGTTGTTCAACTATAGATTAATCTTGTGTCTCAGATATGAAAAGGAATTCTGCAGCATTCACAAACATAAGTAAAAAATGACTATTTTTTGGCAAAATACAAGATATTTGGAAGTGTGTGCGTGTACGCCTGTTTGTGTGTGGATTTTTGTGAGACTGTCTGTGAGGTTTATTCACTAAACACCAAATTGTACTGAATTGATAACAGAATTTAGGGGGAAAAAATGCTTATTTGGAAAGAGTATGAAACGTAGGCTTTAGTCACAGCTTTCAATTTATGGCATCAGTTGTTTATTTTATTTTTCCGTTTATTTTATTTTAATGTTTTGTGAGGAACGAATGTGTGTGCTTCTTTGTGTGTTTACACATTTGTTTGCATATCAATGTGTGTATATGTATTCCTGTGTGTATGAGTTTGTTCATGTCTTTATGGTTGTGTGTGCATATCTGTGTGTGCCAAATTGTCGGTGAATTGTATGTGTATGAATGTATGTCTGCTTGTGTAATAGTGTGTATTTCTGTGTATTTTGGCACTTTATCTTAAGGGACACTCCAGGCACCCAGACCACTTCTGCCCACTGAAGTGGTCTGGGTGCCAACTCCCACCAACCTTTTCCCTGCAAGTATAATTATTGCAGTTTTTATAAACTGCAATAATTACCTTGCAGGGTTAAGTCCACCTCTAGTGGCTGTTAAACAGCCACTAGAGGGACTTCTGTGTTCTTAGAACATGAAATGTGTTTTAAACGACGCTGGACGTCCTTGTGCTATGCATGAGGACCTCCAGCATCGCCGGAATCCCCCTAGGAAAGCATTGAATAATGATTTCCTATGGGAGGTCTAATGTGTGCGCGCGGCCATTGCCACGCATGTGCATTAGGTCTTCCCCGCCGGCTGACATCGGCAGGGAAGGAGCGTGGGTGAAACCTGACTCAACGCCGAGGGACATCGGTGCTGGATTCAGGTAAGTCACTGATATGTTTTCCTGGCATTGGAGAGTCCATTTTCGGTTCTTGCTCAGAAGTAAACATATTATTGATTTCGGTTTCCACTGAAGAATGTATAGTAAAATTGTAAATGTCTTAGGTCTGAGATGACTGCTGAGGTGGATTAACCCGGTAGGGTTGACAGGTATTGGCAATTTATGAGAGAGCCTTTGCATGTGAAAGGTGGAGATATAATACAAAATGTGTCGATTTAATGTTGGTCAGTTAGTAAATCATAATCTACATATCACTTTAAATATCACGGACTCCCAAGAAAAGTTTGTAAACTGTTACATTTTTCTTGACATTTGAGTTGATATAGCTTTTATATGGATAAGGGTATCCATTGATGGTAAATTCTGCTCTGCGTGGGTCTTACTCTAGTGATTTAGGTCAGTAGATACAATGATGATGACAGTATCTAAAATAAGAATGGACGCATTTGTACTCTAGTTAGATCCTCTCTGTGATGTCTGTTTCTCGTGGGTGGGTTTAACATTTAGCTCCACCCTTCACTTTTACAGTGCTACACCCCAAAGTTAGTTACTGAACCCTATGGAATCTGACAATCTTAACAGCAAAGCAGGAAAAAAAATCTACCGTATATTCAGATTATCTTAATCACCAGGCTTTATTTTGTCCTGATTTATAAACATTCAATAATCCTAAAATTAGAGACAGTTATTAGTCAAAGCAGAATTTTTTGTAGTAAACAATGCGATATATAACTACCTGTACTTCCAATTTCAGGATTATGCTTTGTGTACTTTACATTTCAGCACAATGAACTATCATTATTCGTTAATGTAATACAGGAATGTGCTTGTAATTGAATTACTGAGTCTCAAAGAGAAAGCCCAAATAGCGCAAGGAGGGATGTTTGAGTTTTAGAAGATAGATTGAGGATCTCGTTCACTCACATGGGTTTGGTGAAGAGGCCAGAGACCTTCTTGCAGCTCTTATTGTCTCCTCCGCAAACTCGACATTTATCAAACTTCTTCTTAGAGCCAAGTTGTCCGTCGCAGCCAGCCTTGATGCATTTTCCCTGCACACAGACCGACGTGGAGTCCGGGGTACATGGAGTTCCATCCACAACCTAAAACAAGAGTAATAATCAGCCCCTTTAGTATAGTATCTGTCTAATACAATAAACCTGTCATATTGCGGCAGGCAGAGCAAGAGAGCAGAAGATCAAACCTGGGCAGACTCATGGGGAATTGATCAGCGACTTACAATTTCAGAACATTTATTGAGATTTTCTTTCAGTCTGAATTTGACTATATTAATAACCATGAAGCCGCGTTTTAATGTGCCGCATTTTAATGTGCCACGGCCCACACACATACCTGGCCTCCCTCCCACCGATCCACTTCTATATGCTATGGCAAGGTGGAAGAGGTCCCTATATACGTGGGAGCTGCAGCAGACATCAGCACCAAGGGAGCTCCAGAGACATGCCACACCATAAAAGGAGTAGCCATATTAAGGTTTGCTGCAACTCAGCTAGGTCTTGCTTTCTAATTTATAGTTATGGTGGAGGAAATGGGGATCAGGGAGCTGAGGGAATACTACTGTGATGTCCCAGCATGCCCTCACACCACCTGCTGTATTGTGGGAGCTATAGTCTCCCAGCATGCACTTTAGAGCCATTAACTTCACAGAGTACCGTAGCACAAGGGAGGCATGAGAATCATAAGTGTGTTATTCTCCTCAGAAGTCACCTCTAAAATATCCAAGTTGTTCCGGCCATGAGAAACAGGTTCAGGTCAGTTTAACTCACCATCCCTGACCCCTCAGCCACCGCACTACCAGCAGAGCAGTCACCGTCGGAGGTTTTTGCAAATGATACCAAACCCCAGATGGTGACAGAGCCGCTTTAATAGGGTTTCCTTACTAAACTAGGAATTGCTGGAAAATGTACAAGTTAGAGGACAGAATAATTTGCAATTTAGTGGATAAATCCTAATAGAAAAGCCTGATGTAACTGTATATTATGATATAACTGTATACCGATGTAAAAAAAAATGTATCTCTCCTTAAATATCCTTCTCTAGAAGTGACCCACAAAGAGAAAGCCTTCATGGTACAGGATTTGTCTGGGATTTTAATTGTTCATATTTCCCAAATTAAGCTTGTCGCTACAGGATTGCATGTTCCTTTCTATCCTCGTAATCATAATTGAGCCTAATAAAAGTCCTGATTTTGTGTGGAATTGTTAGGATAACCTGACCATGGAAACACAATGCAGCTGACATGATCCCCTGTAATGTCAGCGGAATGCCTGCTAATCCATCTTGTTATATTGTACAGCATTTGCCCCCTGTGCTCTTAGTGATCAGTTTACCAGGGTAATCATAGAAAAAAAAAAAACGACCAAATTACCTGTTAATTCTTCCAAAATGCCAGGGAACAAAAACAAGTAAAACAATAAAAAATGTAATAAAAGTAAAACGCTCTGTTATATACAAAGAATAATCTGCTCGTATCACTGCTTTGTCCCAGTGCCGCGAGTATGTCTTGGATCCTTCTCCGTGTCCTCTGACGTACGTTAATCCTTAATCATCTCCATGCTTCATTTTACAAGCATTGCATAGGACACAAATGTACTAAAATCACTTAAAGCTACCCAATAAAAATTCTATAAATCAATATGTAACTATAAAAATTTTAGTACAATTTCTACTTGTTTTTCCATCTCTTCATTTGTTCTCCAGTTTCTGTTCTAGTCCGTAGATCTGTTTACTACATTGTTGCTCATAATGTCAACTGCAAAATGTACAGATCTATTATTTGTCTGTTTCTTTATTGCAGTTTCTTCTGGTCTTTTGTATTGTTTGTCGTGGGTTTTGTTTGTGTGTTTTAGATTTTTCTCTTAATTATTTTGTTTTTCTTACTGATCTGTGTGTAGAGGGTTCAAATCCACACGCCTCTAACTTCTAAACACTTTGAGAACTCCACCCATGTCTCCTAAACATTAAGCTAATAGACGGCTTCTTAGAGGTCAATCCATCCCTTAGCTCAAACATCGTGTGGACTACAAATGTCCAAACCTTATCCTGCAGACTATAATTCCCATAATTCTGTATCAGCCAATAAAAATGAACCAAAAAGAACCATAAAAGAATAAGGATGGCTCCCTCATAAACCATAAATTGCTGACGTTGAAGATAGAATTGGCTCGGTATAGAGCAGAATTAGTTATATACACTCACCTTGGGAGCCAACACATAGAAGTACCCTGTGCCATTGGCTCGACAGATCAGCTTGCATTTATCCCTTGGTGACACTCCTGAATATTTCGGAACCCACCCTACAGTCGTCGTTAATCGATTAGTACTTTGGTTGAAACCATTGAAAGCTTCACATTGCTCTTCACGAAAACTTTTACCTGTAGAACAAGACAAACGGAGAGGAAGAAATATTTTAATATTGCTATTATTTATATTTAATAAAAAGCAAGGGATGTATTTAATCTTTAAGACGCCAAGCACATGGAGTATAATAAATAGATAGTGTTGTACGTTGGGATTGTAGCTTTTGTATTGTGTGTATGTGGGTACTGCTGTCTTCGTTAAGTAAGTGCAAAGACTAGGGGAAGACGGATCCCCAGTTATCGTGATGGTCTAGCTGTTACAAACATATTCTTTCGCTTTTAAGCAAATGAGAAAAACCAAAACCTATTTGAAAGCTTTTAACAATGACATTTGGCAATGACGACAATGACAAAACAAATCAGTGGACAAAGATAAATATATGGCATATATTTACTTGATAATTTCTGTCAGATAAATATTTATTTTTTTTGTCTTTTTTTATAAATGCATATTTATAAAGAGTGAGGTCAGTAAATTGTGAAAAATTAATATATTCATTTTCAAAACTCCAAAAAACTTCTCTATACCGTGAAAAAGAAACTTAATCTTATAACTGGTAACACGAAAACCTATTACAACGCGCCACTGGCTTACAGAATACTATTTGCATTCTCCCTGTTGATAGGGTTTCATTTTGGCATGATTTAAAAGGTGCCACTGGATTTCCATAATAAAAGGATATCCCCCAGATTTTTATGGTGTCTACGTCGATGCGTTTTGTATCACTCACCGATGTCAGGACAGGGATCCAATGAACAGGATCTATACTTGACTCGCACGCCTTCACAAAATGACCCCCCGTGGGAAGGTTCAGGATTGTTACACTCTCGTTTAGCTAACTGAACGCCTCCACCACATGTCCGGGAACACTGGCCATACGGACTCCATTTTCCCCAACCACCATCCATCTCGGGGGAAAAAATTAAAAATCAGAGTAAAAATTCATATTATAGAAAACTGGCAAATGTAATAGTCATTGTAAAAATATTTCTTGTTCGCTCAGAAATAAAAAGTCACTGTTGCATGAATGTGTGTCAGGATCTCAAACAATGTTACATGATCCAAATGCAATGTATACATGACATCACCCACAGGACTGTGTAGAGCATTGAATTCCTAAACTAACAGTAAGACAACATATGATGTCATACACGGCAATCATGAACTCTTGGCATGCTGTTTAAGAATATATTGTATAGATGGTATATCCCAATGTGTGTTATAACGTAACCAATATAAAATGTTCCTCCACACAACATTCAAAATGTATCAAGCTGGCCTGACCTGCTTCCCGGTACCGAAGACAGAAGATCATAAAGTTGTCTAAATAATAATTGCTGATTTTATAATGTATTTATATAGAACTAACTAGTTCCTTAGTATGGTATTCATATCCAGATAAACTATTTTGTTAGGAACAACAAGCTGATAATATTATGGGAGTCCTGCTCTCAAAATTGTGGTTGAGAGGAATAGGTCTCACAGTCGCCACAACTGACCACTTGCACTTCAAGGTTTAAAAACGTTCTTTATTCTTTGTTTGGAGATATAAATAAAACCAATTATACAAACTATCTCCTGTTGTGGTTTTAAAAAACTTAGCCATAGGTACAATGGAAAAGGAGCTATGCATGATGAAATGGTTCTCCGGAATGAATTGATGGTTTGGGTAGGGTGTTTTTAAACAATTTAGATGGAGGACCAAAAGACAAATTTTTGGAGAAATGAGATCGCTCAAAAATGTAAATGCATTACAGACAGCTCATATATCCAAATACATCAAGATTGAGTCTGCAGGCAACACACAGTCTACTCCTGGCTATAATGCTATGAAATCTGGGGAAAAAAACTGCAAAACATATAAATCATCTAAATGTGACATAAAATGGAAAGAACGGTAGTTGAAACGTTTGATGTTTGAGAAAAAGGAGGATGATAGACATCCTATGTACTTAACTATCCCATAACTTATCTTAATGACTCTCTAAAGGAGTGCAAACAGATGGGATGTGCTAGCTGCGATACTGCATTGGATAAAACATGGCAGTTCTAGAGTGGGGATATTTTAATAGCTTTCTGGAATGATCAGAAAATGACAATAAATAACTGAGCATTATGGCAGGAATAAACAGCTCAGCATTAACTAACCCCCTCTGTGTTTCAAACAGTCACAGCTGCACAGGTGGGAGTTTGCACATTACAAAGAATGTTAAATAATAATAAAAAAATCACATTATTAATTATATTGTATTGAAATCGATTCAGAAAAGAATACAATGACATTGGATTCCCTTGATTTCTTTAACCCATTGTCTCCCTACCTTGGTACCAGGGACAACCAATAGCAGTGGAGGGTGAGAAGATAGATTACTATGTATAGTGACTATAGTGTCCCTTTAACTATAATTGTAGATACTATATTAATTCACAGGCAACTCTGTAGACGGTGTTTGTACTTGTAACTATCTAAAATGCTGGCATTTTTCAAGAAATAGCAGGCATTTTGGTGTTCCGGTTTTCTTTCAGTAAATAACTGGCATTGAAGGGGTTAACCCGCTGAAAGACTCAGGTGGATCTCCGGCTGACTTGGAACCAAGTAAAATGTACTGATTACTTTTATTATTATTATCTGGTCTTCTATCAAGATGTATTGTGTAAAGTCCTCTTTGTGTCAGAGATACAGACGATGGCTTTGTAATTAGAAATCACTGCATCTTGTGAAAACAATGGGTTTAGTTACTAAACACAATATTGTAGAAAACTGAAAACTGTTGGAACATTAAATGGCCACTTCCCACACATAAAGCACTTCACATTACTGTACTGGCACTTTTATAAAATAACCTGATAACACCCTCCCCTCCTGGCTGCCAATCCTGGTTTGGTTAGCTCAGTGGAACAAAACTCGAGAGGCAGCAATTGCCCAGAGCACCTGCTTTGTAAAGACTTCTCATTGAGCTGCATTGGGAAGTCTGTGATTGGACAGACACAGAAAGTCTGGGCGGGGTTAAAAGGGGAGGGCTTGTAAAGGCTGCAGTCAAGAGATCTGCAGCTATTGCAAGTTGTTTTTAGATATAACTCCAATTAAAAGAAAGCATCAGTAAATGCAAGCATGTTTCTATTAGGAGACATTTCTACTGAATAGTGATTTATTTTTATTTTTATTTATTTTTTAGTAGTGAGGTAGTGAAGTGTCCTCAAAACGTGCTGATTTGGAAAGATTTTACAACTCAATAATAATGGCAGTTTGGCTATTTTAGCCTGAATTTGTCAATGCTGGATTTCCATAAACAATAATGCAGTCCTTAGTGAATAAATACCATTGTCCTTTTTTTCTGTTTCTTACCTTATAGCGGTTAATATTGTGCTTTTCTACACAAGTTCCACTCAAGCAAAACCTTCCTTCACCGCAGCTGGTGCCATCCGCCCAGGGGAAATGACGGGTCTGGCACACCAGTTGCCCCCGTGCCCTGCCCGTGCACCAGAGCTTGGAGCAGTATTGCATGTATGGGCAAGGCTTGGAACCCAGGCCAAATGCCAGTTCGCACTGCCGGCTGAGAGTGTAGCGCACACCAGGGAGCTCCTCAGGTAAAGTGATTGGCTTTGCCGGTTCGTCCAGAAGACACTCACCTGTTTAAATAATAAAATTATACAATTAGTTACACATTGCGCATTGTATCGCTATGAATATAACTAGGAAAATATTACAGCGAGTATAGTATCATTAATGTCAGCCTATTAGCTTTAAAAATAATGATGTTTATTAAACTGACTCTATAGTCACCAAAACAAGTTTAGCTTAATAAAGCAGTTTTGGTGTATAGATCATGCCCCTGCAATCTCACTGCTCAATTCTTTGCCATTTAGGAGTTAAATCACTTTGTTTGTGCAGCCCTAGCCTTACCACCCCTGGTTGTGCAGAGTTTTAAAGTCAATTAATGTTGAAATCATTTTACGTCAGTAGAGAAGAAGAAGTATTGAAATACAATTCTAGTTTCACTCTGAGGATTAAATCAAGTGCCATCACCTCACTTCTTCGGTCCTACACATGAATTCCATTGTCTCGTACCACCAATCCGCTGATAAACCCTTTCATTATCTTCTAACGCTGACGTTGTCCCACAATCCCAGCAGCAAACACTGTTATTTTCAGAGATGCTTCCATACTCTTTATTTAGGTATTTTGGAGTCTCAGCACAGAGCCAGATTTCGTGTTAAGTTTACAAATGTGACCGGATGCCAAGTATAAACTGTATAAAGACACATCAAGCCTGAGCCAGGACTAAACTGTTCAGCTGGTGAAATCGTTAGGGACTAGAGCCATCTGTCAGGTCATGTCTCCGGCATCCTGCAGGGACCACGCTCACAGCTGTCAGTTTACCCCAGGGTGAAACGCAGGCTGCGTAGTTCCTATCAACTTGACTACAACCAGCCGAGAATGCAAAACTTTCTACTGTTAAGCAGTCACGGCTGCATTGCTGTGAAATAACCAAGGCTTGAATCTGATTGCCATGCATGTGGATGGGTCAAGTAAGTTTCTAGGAGGTTACTATTAGAATAATTAATTTAATTTTACTAAATACCGGTCCAGCTACAATGGTTCCAAATTTGTGGGTTTTACACGGCAATCCTCATCGTCCATTCCCTTCGATCTCCTCCCAACTCATATCCGATTGGCCAATCACCTCCTCTATCACACCAACAGTCTGGATTCATTGCCAGTGCATTGATGTGTGGATGATGTGCAGCCATGCATTGTAACCAATGAATAGGGGAGCAGGAGCACCGCTGGGGTGAGGGTTCTACTCTTGGGTTCTCCTGCTCTCGTCTTTCAGTCAGTGCTTAGTAAGCACACTGATTGACAGGTGAGGAGACATTTATTTATTTATTTATTTAGATTTTTTGTTTTTCATTGTGAAGGTAATAATTTACTATCCAAAATGTGCAGCGTTAGCTAGATTAAATGCTGCTAATTCTGGTTTGGGTACAAGTTCCGGCACTTGACTAAAGTATAGATCCCTTTTCTGAATCACTGCAGAGTTATTGACAATGGTGTTAATTTCTGAGAATTTAAAAATAATTTCATATTTTAGGACCAAATAAACCAAGCTGATAACATTTTTTTGTTTTGAGATGTTTTGTTATTTTGGCCCAACATTTGAAACTCCCTATACATTTCCTTTGAAATCATGGTGCTCGGAGCCTGTATGAGATGTGATTCTGTTGCTGGATGTGTAACTCCACCTCTAGCTGCATTACTGGGTATCATTAGTCAGCCCAGAATGTCAATTCTGTGCATATACCTATCCTGAGAATTGCATTCATTGACTGGGAGAGGTCAGCTGATGCTCTCAGCCAATGAATAAAGACATCCTCGATATTTGGCTTATGCAGGCTCAGTTTGTATTTTGGAATTTGGAAAGGGTTCCCGATGCACCATGCAGATGAACCACAGCACACACCAGCAATTTCAAATTCTACCCATCACCAAAGCAATTCTGATCTCATGGCCAAAATACATTCCCCCTGAGTAAAATGGCCGGGGACGGCATCGACTTTGTGCTGGATCTCGTGCATGCTAGTGTGAGCTAGACAGGACAGAATGCATTCCATGTATTTTAAAGTCATCAGAGACATTTGGAAGAATTCAACCACAATATTACTAGACCCCATGGTGGGGTTTCTGCCGATCTGTTCTTGTTCCAATCAAAACAAAATCTTTACCAGACATCAATAACTAGGGTCGGGAGTTAATAGGAACCACTGGTTCTTCATTACAGAACATTGTCCTAGCAATCTTTAATGTTTTTAAACTTTTAAACCATTTACATAAGGTTTTTGTTCCACATGAATTATATGTGTTGGATTTTTTTTCTCCCTAAAACTACAAAGAAATTTTATTTATTAATGTGTTTTCATATGAGCAGAGACTTTATCCAAGTAAGTCAACGGGCTGAATGTCCACCTCAATTGCTCACCGTATCCATTATCCAGGAAGTCGGTTATGATGGCTGCACTGCAGCCGGACCACGGATTGGTTCGGTCGATCTGTATCAGGGTTGGTGACATCATGTGATTTTCCTTCAGCTTCCCGAATACCTCCTCACAGGCTTTCACGTTGTCATGAGGCATGTTAAAAACATGACCTAAGAGGATAAGAGGAAACGGTTAAAGAAGGGGTCCACAAAATCCGAGTTTGAAGCATTTATAAAAACATTATTTGTGACACTGGAAATTTGACATGCTGAATTACTGAGCAATTTTGATTTACTTTGTCTCTCCCCTGGGTTTCTACTTAAATCACACAAACATGTGTAATACATTTCATGAGAAAGAAGGGGGGAGGGCCATATTTTTGCTAATCTATGAGAAGCCATTTGGAATTTTAGAGCGTGGTGAAAGCCAGGGCCCTGACAGGTCTCACGGACCATCCATTACATCAAAAGTCACACATTACATCGTTTAATAACTCGGCTGAAAAAAACCAAAAACCCTACTACTTCTTTAACACTGTGGAACTCTTTACGAATGAGGTGATAAAGTCTAGAAATCAGTCACTAATAATTCACATACAGACATTATTTATACTTTAATAAAATGGAGGAGCTATTTTACTTTGCAAATTACAATCTGTTTATCCATAAATCAACTCATAAGATTCCTGGATAATAGAGCTTCTTAATTAACAAATGTAAAGTCAAAAAATGTTTTTCCTTCACTTGGTGAGTTAAACCTTTAGAGTAATTTCCAGTGTGTACGAGTTTATCACAGAGCTCCACATCAGTAAAACTCACAGTAATATGCAACGCGTTTGAGTTTATCACAGAGCTCCACAGCAATAAAACTCACAGTAATGGGCGGTGTAAATAAGTATATCCAAAGCTCCACATCAATAAACTCAAAGTAATATGCAATGCGTTTGAGTTTATCAGAGAGCTCCACAGCAATAAAAATCGCTGTAGTGGGCAGTGTGTATGAGTATATCACAGAGCTCCACAACAATAAAACTCACAGTAGTGTACAGTGGGAGCATATGATCTTAAATTGTGGGCTCGTTTGGGCATGAGCCTCTTCACCTGCTGCTCCTGTATGTCATACGTGTTCTATTAGAAATAAATGGTTTTCTTGTTTGCTATTGTACATCTCTGTGGAATATATTGACGCTATATAAATAATTGTAATTAAATGTTGAGAAAGATACCATGTAGCAGTCTATATTTTTATGTCTTTTTCACTCTGTAAATCTGTTGAACGAAGGCATCAAGTCCATTGATATATATTTTTAGAGTGTTTTTCATTACTTTGTTTTAATCGATGAGTGACTCTTGACTCTGGAAAACATTCCATTTGAGTTACGATATACAGGATGATTATACAGGAATTTATGGCTAGGATGAGATTTGCCATTCTAACATGTAAATTATACAGTAAACTAGTCTAACCTTGTCACAGCTATTCTAACAAAGCAGAGAGCAGGTATGGAACCAATAAACTCCATTTTCTAGCAGGGAATAGCTTAGCCAATTCTAACGGTTTTGAATTGTTCTTAAATGGATCCATTAGTGTTTTGAAAATTACAATTGCTCCTTCATCCACCCCTACCGAAGCATTTAAACAGTTCATCCAGGGCCAGACACCATATAACAAACGTAAATAACGACGACTCATTATCGACTGCATGTGCAAGTAAAGTCAACTAGTTAAAAGTCCATGGATAATCGAACCTGCCATTTTGAACACTTGACCGAGCAACCTCTACTAGGTCATCTCTGCTCATGACACACTCTTCCAGAAGATCCTCGGTGTAGATGGAACCCTGCTTGGCTTTCATTACTACATTGATGAGCTCATATAATCATACAACAGGTTAGTAAGCCATTTATATACCACGGTACTTTAATACATTTCTTCCAGAGACCACTAAACATCTAGAAGACACTCAAAGCGTTCATAGTTGCTTTGGATGACAATGTAGGGGCTGGTTATAACTAAGTTTCAGAAGAAGGTGAGCAAGATCTTCGTAGGGTGGAGGATCTTTTTATGTTTGTTATAGCAATACTGCACCATAACGTGTTTTGGGTCTTCTGTAGTGGATTTCAGACTCAGGAAGAAGTTTATTAGAGTATACTTTATACGAATCCATAAGACGTACTCATTGGCCATGTCTGCCTGTTAGTATGGCTTTGTAAGGAAATCAAGGAGTTCATACTTTTATTTTAAATTTGAGCAATTTTGCCATTGCAAATTTTGTTTTTCTAATGTGCAAGTCTTACTAATTAACAAAAAAATAACACATTATACTATTATTTCAAACATTGTCTAATAGCTCCTGGGGAGCTTGTCAGTCAGTAAAAAGCTAATCCCAGACATTAATCATGAAAATAAATTCCATGAAATCAGAAAAGTGTCCGGAGTGTGAAAAACAGAGTTTCTGTAATTCCGCTCTGTATAATGAGTCATTACACCTTATGGTATGACATTGATGTCATATTATTAAATTATACAGAAATGATTTGGTGAAAATAAATGGCACGATGACCTCGTCATAAAGTATTTTTATCTGTGTGTTTCTGCCAGATTAGCGATACTTTCATTCATCACTTGACTTGAACAGCGGTCATGTGACCTGTCGCTGCATTTACTAACATCAGGCTGGGCAGAGCTGGTTCTTAAAACTCTAAATGTAGTTTTTGTTTATGAGTCACCTTTTAACAAAACAAGATAATTATGGACAGAGAATCGCAGCCAAACCATAGGAATCCAAACTACATACAAAAATAAAAAGCAAATGTGTAAATTAACTGTTTCTAAATCCATTTTGCTTTGTTTTTTTTTCTAGATTCTATTCTGGAATGTTCACAAGTTTCCAGTTTTTATTTTGTGCCACGTGTTTTGGTGTTTAGTGTCAGCTCATGAAACGTGTCCGAGCTGTGACTTTTTAAGTAATCTTGTAAACTAATACAGGTTATTTTAGGGATGAGGTGACTGGGGGCATCTGGAGTCCACAGGTGCTTGAATAGTACACCTGGCCCCATTTAACCCCGTTTTGAGTTGGCTGCATTCAGTATTCACTGACCGAGTTCATGTGCTGTGGTAAACGCAGAAGGAAGGCCATCATCTTCTATTACCGAACAGCTGCGCTTGGGATCACACATCGTACCCACATCGGCCATCCCCAGAGTGTCGCAAGTGGAGGCACCGCAGAGATCCTAGAGGAGACATATACAAGTATTAGCGTATGGAGTATTTAGCAAGTGTACGCACAAGATTAATTGCCCTGTACTGTGCCATAGCCTTTCTATACTCCAGTATGTGCCCCTATTCTTGCCCCCATTCTTACCCTTAAAATATTTGGTTCACAATGTATTACAAACTATTCATCCATTTACCTTAAAAGGACACTATAGTCACCAAAACAACTTTAGCTTAATGAAGCAGTTTTGGTGTATAGATCATGCCCCTGCAGTCTCACTACTCAATTCTCTGAAAAGTAGCAGTTAAATCACGTTTGTTTGTGCTTATGCAGCCTTAGCCACACCTCCCTGCATGTTACTTGAACAACCTTCCTAAACACTTCCTGTAGAGTCATCTAATGTTTAAACTTACTTTATTGCAAATTCTGTTTGATTTAGAATTTATTATCTCCTGCTCTGTTAATAGCTTGGTAGACCCTGCAGTAGCCTCCTGTGTGTGATTACAGGTCAGTTTACAGAGCAGGAGATAAAACCTTTTACAGTAACATCTGATTGATTTTTTGTTCCCAGACAGTGTCAGTCACAGCCAGGGGAGGTGTGAATAGAAACAAAAGTAAATTAACTCATAACTGGCAGTGGATTGAGCAGTGAAACTTCATAGGCATTATTTATACACCAACACTGCTGCATGAAGTTGTTTTGATGACTATAGTCGCCCTTAAATTACATGAATATTTATTGCTAAATTTCAGAGATATGTCTGAGTTTGATTGTTTGGATACATCCAAGTTTTAAACAATAGATTCATCCAGGCCACCAAAGCAAACATTTTATCTCCACCCCATCTCATCCCACACACAAATCAGTAATATATGAGAGTACAATCACCCATCATTAGGAGCAGTAGCTAAGACTATAACACGGGTACAAGTATAATACTGCACCCAGGTTTACCTCACATTTGCATCTTGAATGCCTTGCCCATGCCCATTATAGAGATATACTCCACAGCCCAAATATAAAAGCATTTTTTAGTATGCATATCCCCAATAAAAACATGCACCTATCTTATTATGTATTCTTCCATTGCGGTTATATTTCAAAACAGCTTGCAAAAACTGAAGATCTCTTGTCTGCAGCCTTTGCAAGCCCTCCTCTTCTAACCCCGCCCAGACTCTCTGTAACTGTCCAATCACAGACTTCCCAATGCAGAAGGCCACCCTATGGCAGGTGTATGCAACCTTTGGCATTTCAAAACTTGTGGACTACATCTCCCCTGATGCTCTGCCAGTAATTGGGCTATAAGAGCATGATGGGATATGTAGTCCACAACATCTGCCAAAGGTTGCCGACCCTGCCTTTTAGTATGATATATTATATAATATAATATATGATCCCCTGATACTTTCTATTATGTTTTTAATTCAAATCAAAATGTGTTTATTTAAAATTGGTTAAATGTTAATTATAAATATATATATATGTTAAATATAATAATCAACATATTGCAAGGAAGGCTTTTACAATCGTGCCTGGAATGTCTAATGTATCACCATTTTAAAATGTATTAAAGTATAAAGGAAGGGGCTATGCAAACGGCATAAAGGAAATGAGAAATATAAAACACAGAAGTGCAATCAATATTGTATAACATACAACAGATATTCAAACAAGCTTTCCATCTTTTAGGGACATCTATTTCAAACGAGAGTCATATTTTATAGGCTATATTTTTATTACAGCACAGAAGAACAAGCAGATGGTTTCTATCACGTTTATAGGATGAAGTTTCTATTCAACATATGTTGATCACGCTTTAGACATTTAAAGGGAAACACCAGCGCTCCTGGTTGCAGTATCGAGCAGTACATACTTCCCCTACTACGACTATTGTAGGACTACAACTCCCATAATGCTCTGTAACCCTTTTAGACTTCAGGGACTTGTAGTCCAACAATATTTGGGGGGGCTGTAGCTCAGCATCCACACATTATGGAACTAATACAGAAAGAAAACGATATGGAGAGAAAACTACAAATAAGCACCCCTGAATCTCTCTCTTTCTACAAATCCAAAGTTTCTCCAGAGACCAGGACGTGTCAAACAATTCTCAGCCCAGCCCGGCGCTCCCATTGTTCTCAATGAGAGAGCAGAGCACATGCCAGAAACCTCTGCATAGTACAGGTTCATAGCATGGGTAGATATGTTCTAGTCAGTAGTTTCATTCATGAATGGACATGACATGAACGAAACCACTGCACAAGTCAATATACAGCTTCTGTTAGTTTGCTTAACAGCTACACTGTTAATAAAATCATAAACCTGGAATGAAACATCAACTATATTCATGTTTAACACCAATAAGGCTGTTTACTAAAATGGGAATTGTTGGGAATTCAAACAGAATATAAGAATTTACTTCCAAGTATCCAAACCGGAATTTTTTTTCAACTTTATATGTCCAGTTTGGCTCTCTTGGTTAAAGTTTGAAATTCACTTTGAATTCAGATCAATTCACACGTATTGATTATACCGTTCGTCTTCTGGAAATAATAGTTATTTCCCATTGTACAGCACTACAGAATTTGATGGTGCTATATAAATAATAATAATAATAATAATATCAAGGCGCTGCACTGACCAAGACAGGTTTGTGGCCATGGGCACCGGTGTTTTATAGAGACTAAATCGAACACATCCTTTTATATCATTTTCTTTTTCGCAGCTGTTCTATAAATTTCGCCCCATTTTTGTTTTGTTTCGTTGTGGATAAATAAATAATAAATAAATCTGGGATGTTGTGGAGCTATTCGGGGTGATTTGGAAGCAAACTAGTTTTAACATCACTCTGTTTTCATTTCTTTATTATTTATGGCACGGATATTATTTTAAAAATGGGCCTAGCTACAGGTGTAATATAATATAACTTTAATGTCATTTAACGTTTGATTTATGACATAAGGGAAGTGGCCACCAAACATGAAGCCACTTGGACGTTATTTTAATTAACACTGCCTTGGTTAAAGTGATGGAGAGCGGTGGAACATTTTAAAGTGGTGCGATTAGGGGTGCAGATCCTGGACACATATTATCTATTCATGCTGATGTGCCTCTTGGTGCGTTCATTTATATCCTGCAAGATGAAAATAAATCCAATAAAAAGGCCAATTATTTTGAGATCGTTTCTTGATTAATTGATACTAGGTATCCAGGAATATTTGGTGAATCTAGCGATTTACATTGGTGTTGTGTCAGAGCATCAGTCATACAAATATCAGAGACTGGATTATCTGAAAAATAAGGTAATGCGAGGACATTGTGATTAGACATGAGCAAAAATTAATTTTAAGTGATTAATCCCAATAAAAAGCATGGTAATCATCGAAAGAATTGATTCTGAAATTTGAGTCATACATAAATGAACCAAATTGCTCAAATCAAAATTCTTTTCGGGTATGGATTAAAAGGGTCATTATTTGGACAAATTGGTTCGCTTATGAATTAACTGAATTTTGGAATCGAGTCGTTCCACGATTACCAGGCATTTTATTCGGATGAATCACGTAAAGCAAATTGTTGCACATGTCTAATTGTGACCTGTATCTGGTTTATACTGAATGTAAGGACAAAGTGGAAGGTTCAGTGACACCAAACCCATCACACTTCTGTCCTAGCGCACACACACAATCCAACAACAAAGACAGAAAGGTGCACACAACAAAACTAGAGTATAAAAATAAAAGAAATTCTACATCACGCATGACACATTGACATGTTTATAGCGGATTCATTAGATCGGCAAATGCTTCAATAAACATAACTTAGAATAATAGATTTTACTGACATTTCCTGAATAGTATTATACAAAATATTAAAAACATGAAGCAAGCTATCTAAACAGCCTGATGCCTTCGTCATTAATTTAAGTTAGCCCAATTTTATCCAGTATAAAATGGCATTTGCAGAATAAAAAAAAAATAAGTTCTAGATGAGATCACTTGCACCCTAAAATATAGCTGATTTAGATGTGATTTCACAATAATGTCACATAACTGAAATTCCCTCTTGTTTGACCTATAATATTTTGCACCAAATGTTGCAGGTTTGAGAGCTCATTACTTGGTCTGAATGTTGCAGCGTGTTCTTGGTGATTGTATAATACCACTGACATAACTGGATAGAGCAGTCGTAACATCATGACCTTAGAACTGGTTCGAATCCTGGTCAGACCACTTTATCAGTAGGGTCCCAGGAGCCAAACTATGAATATTTGCAATTAGCATCAGACAACTGAAGCCTAAACATACTACATAACGAATCCTTTTCTCTGAAGTTGGTGAAATCTCATGTTTTCAAGTCTCAATACATGATCTAGTTTCATGGTTGTTACAAACTACAAATTATGTTGGCTTGTTCTATATTTCATTTGTAGAAAGTTAGATAATTGAAACAGTTAAGGTAATTAATTATATATCTATCAATATATATTTTTTCATAAGCAGTTGAATAGGGTTGTATATAATTTTCTAGTGTATATTTCTATATTCTATCCTCTCAGTGTTATATGATATCTCTCTGTATCCTATATTGCCGATTAGGCTGCTTAATGACTCCCTTCCCAGAACCTGTGCCCTCAGGCAGTGTAATGTACCTTTACACCACTCAATTCCTTCCTCATTTAGAAGTGTCCTTTGAGTAACCTTCCTGACCCAACTTATAGCTCCCCCCACCCCCCCATATAGTGCATTCCTCTTACTATACAGGAGCAAGTCCTGGCGTCCCCCTATAGAAACAGGATAGGACAAGGCAGGGCAAACCGATCCCTTGCAATAAGCTGGGAGCATTATTTTCTACATGTTTTTGTAAAGGGGCAATTGCTAGCAATAGGAAATTAAATTCCTTTCGGAGGCGTTTTTAACCAATTGTATGCCGGACAGTTAAAGAACATATCGCTATGATCTGTGATACACATTTGTCAGGCAATCAAACATTATAGCATGGTTTTTTTATATTTGCAATACAGATTTTTTTATCTAGTAGAAAGTCACCCGTAGTCGGTATATAAAGAGTATTTTAAATGGGACTTAATAAGGGGAACAGTGAGCAATGGTCACCTGCACAATCAGCAGATTGTGTTATTGTGCAGGTGACCATTGCTCACTCTTCCCCTTATAATTTCTCTTCAAAGAGTGTAACTCTAGAATTTAGAACGTTTCAGCCTGACTGACTGATATGGGTTTTTTAAGCCAAAAGTGATTCAAATTTGTGATATCAAATCATTGAAAGACATTCAACATAAGGTGCAATTCACTTTCAAAATAGTGCGGCAATGATGGGTACAGCAGTGTTCCCCAAGATATACATTTAGGGGTGTATAGGTTTAGGGGGTTTAGGAGCAAGATGTTTTTAGGGTAGGGAAGGACTTTGGGTGAGGTAGCATAAGGGGGATTATGAATGACCTGCTTTTAAGATACCAATGACTATAACTTTGCCTAAGATTTGTGGTAGTTACAGTCCACTAAATCTTAAAGGCAGGAACCTGCTACCCCTTAACCCTAGACCACCATAAAATAATCATCAGATTGGAAAATTATCTAAATTGGCTCAACTATTTTAATCGAAAGTGTGATATTCCCTTGTGAAGTCTCCATAATCCCTGATTAAATGAATAAGCTCACACTTGCTTGTCTCGGAGAGCCAGGTGAGACTGAAGACAGTGGGCTTCACCTGTAATAAAGGTTGTCCTTGGGGTTCAATACAGAACTAGTTTATAGAGAGTCAGACTAGAGTGTGATTGGCTAGCAATCTCTAAAACGGCTCAGTGTACTAAAGGGACACACCAAGGGGTCAAGCAGGGAGGGGAAGCAGAACCAATGTCAAGAGCAAAGGTCATTCCCAGGTGAACTAGGTCAGTTTTATTGAAATGAAAAGGAAAGCTAAATGACATTAGAGCTGCCTAGGAATGGTGTGTATGGCTACGGATGTACTTAGTGAACTGGGTAATTATACGGTAGGTCTAAGTCCTGGAATCACAGGCTCGTGGTGTGCATATCCCAACTATAAGGCCACATGTGTCACATCACATCATAGTTACATTAATAAACCAAAGTGTTACATTAAAACTCAACATACAATCTTCCTGGTTATAATATTTAACGTTCACTAACACACTGATACCCTTCTGGCTGCACACGTTTAGATAAATGAACGTCTGTCACTGTGTTTGTGAACTTGTGTTTACAAAGCCCCTCTCATGCAAAACTCACTTATATTGGACGGAAACTGAAAACACTATCATAGTGTGTTAGCAAATGTGCATAGAACGCTGTTTAAAGCAGAATTGAAATTTGCGAGAGTAGACTAAAAATTACATGTGGGTCTTTTTTTTCCATTGTCGACAATTATCATGTTTTTCTAATTTGCCATTTTAGAAATGAGCTAGATGTATTACGAGAAGGGGTGAGCCGCCGTTCATGTTCCAGAGATTGAATCTATACATTTGTTGGTAATAACACAATGTACAGATTCTACTTCAATACTTACCTTGAGAGTATGCTACATCCACACATTCGCCTGGATGGAATTTTTCAATGTATTTATGTATTCCGCACCGTGGTGTGTTATTATGCTGTCAGTATAACATCAGGAGAGGACAAAATGTTTGCTTATTTCTGTCTGAACATGGATTTATCCATCGTGGGTGTTAAAGGAATCCTAGTCTGAAATATTTATGTAATTTACATTTAAACACAGGATGAGCAATGTCCTTCTTCTCAAAAGTAAATATAACATTCTTTGTGTATTTTTTTTTTTTTTGTATATTTGGACCAAAGTTGACTTTTCTATGTACTTTGCAGGTTTTTTCCCATTGATCGAATTTAAAAACATCCAATTCAAGCTTCAGGTAATCTCAGGTTACACAATTAAAGAAGATTGGTAGCGCAGGTATATAGTAACACGGTAATATTGTTTGAAAAAACACAGCATTCCACTCCTTTCAGCCGTTCACACATTTCACTTCCTGTCACTCATATTCACAATGCTTAATTCTTCTTCTTCAAAATTCACGTGTCGGATACCAATCAATCCATGCAACTCAGCCAGGTATAGCCTGATTTAGATATTTAGGGAAATACTTCTAGATAGTTTAAAGTAATATATCTTAATTCAAACCTGAAATTGGTTCCTTGTTTCATGGTAATTCCATTCTAAATAAGCCAAAAGAGAAAAAGGCAAAAATATAACAGATACAAGTTTAATATCCTGTGCTATCGGCAGTTCTCACTTTGAGGTGTCATTATATAAAGTATTGTATATTATTAACATATCAAATCGCTCCCAAGTACATGGCAGTCCCGACCCTGGGAGCCAAGCAGATCCCCTCTACATGATGGATTTCAGAAATCTCATAGTATCATTTGGCTTGTTATAGGCGCTATTAACAAAGTGTGGCTGGTGCCTCCCTCTGGGAGCTGGTACCTTTCTCTGGGGGCTGGTACCTCCCTCTGGGGGCTGGTACCCCTCTCTGGTAGCTGGTACCTCCCTCTGGTGGCTGGTACCATTCTGTGCACAGAGAAGAAGGGGCCCCCCATTAAGATTATCCCAAAGTAAGACAGACATGTATGACAAATGGACTAAAGATTATTAGTTTGTCCAATGAGTTGTCCCTACTCAGAAGGTCTGAAATGAGTGTTACCTTCACTTGTATCAGTACCCGAACACCAGACTGATATTATTATTATTATCAGTATTTTATATTTATATGGCACTAACATATTCTGCAGATTTGTACAATATAGGGAATAAGGACCAGTCCAGATACATAAAGAACCTCGGCTTGCTGAAATGCTTTGTGTGTCTGGAGTCTGTCACTTTTTGACAGTTTATAAAAGTGCTGATTTAAATAGATATCGTCACTCTTATTAAACTCCACCAAAACAGCTGTGACTCAGACTTGTCAGGGGCGTTTCCTTCAGCTTTCGTGGACGGGGCAGGCATGTTGGGCTAACAGACAGAGGGCTTGCAACGGCTGCAGACTGCAGGTGTGTAGCTTCTCCAAGCTGTTTTTCATATACCTCCATGCATGCCTTCTTTGGGAGTATATATACTAAATAGCTATACAATAAATAAATAAAAATTCAGTGAAGTGTCCATTTAATTAATGCTGATCGTCATTGTCAGAAATTCCTAGAAGTAGAGGTCTGTCAGTGGGTGACAGCGATGTCCTTGGTTGGAACTTTGAGAACACCATCACCGGGAAACCTAAAAGGGTCTGGTGATTTAAGGCAAACGCCCAAATAGATGTTTTGGTCTAAAATGTAAAATCATTTTGTAAATTTTCCACAATTCCTGGTTTAGTTCAAAATTGAGCTCTTAGTTCTGACTAACGTTGGGAATAACAAATCATTATAACTGCAGTGATATCCTTATCTCTAATTAGTTTTATGATCTATAAGTATCACTTCATTTATGTTCCGTGCAGAATGTGAGGTATGTCAATAAATTTTCTGACAATCCACTTTATCGCTTTCATGATCTCCTGTTTGCTTTCTTGTACGGCCAAGTCTAAAGCAAAGCAAAATGTGTTGGCAAAATGTCTTCAGCAGATGGAAGAAACGCTTTCTTGTATTTAGCAGAGAAAACGAGTGTGCTTTCAGAGAGCAGAAACATTGCGGTGCCCATAGTTTGTTAGTCAGGAATTGATATCAAGAAATATTCCAGGATGCTGAGTGCAGATGAGACCACTAACGCATTCGCAATCAGTAACATTTTATCACAGCGAGATGGTGTGACAAACGCCCTGTGGTCTGGTCGTTTGCCACGAGCTCCTGGAGGAGCCTGTTAGCCAGCCTCCTGCCCCAGGATTATGGGCCATACAAGATACCCTTCAAACTACTCTGTTCATGTAATCTAGGTTATGTTGTTCGGGAACCGAACAACAGCATTAACCAGAGACCACCCACCGCAGTGTTCTAATTGTTCATCTGGGTAGCTGCAATTCGTATGAACGACTACGAGGTGGCAGCCATCTTGTTTGGATGAACGGAGGCAGTGGTGTTTGGTCATCGAGTTAATGGAATTAAAATCGGACACAGAAACTGCCAAACACCACTGGACTTCCATCATCACCTGCGTTCGTTTCTATGTGACCTAGAAGTGCACTGTTCGGTGGGAACGTTCCCACAAAAAAGGTGAACAAGCTCCAGGGTAGAACTATGGATTCCGTTTGTAGTTTGTTAATTTTTAAACTAGTCAAATGACTTCCAGGGAAATTCCGAACCCCTGAACCGATCTGGGTGATTTTTGGATATGTTGGTCACCCAGATCAGCGTTTTTATGTGTTTTAAAGGAATTTTGGGGGTTTGTAATACTGTATGTTTTTCTGTGCCTGGAGATAATTGAGTTAGTTCTGTTCCTGACTCAATTATCACTCAGGCACAGAGGAAGAGTTTGTAACATGTAACTAGTCCCCTCTCAGGTCCAAGAGAGGGATTATCCTGTTTTGTGTGGGAGTGTTATGGGCGTGTTTGACTGTGTCTAAACTGTATAAAAGCAGGCCATCTGGCCGGATTAAAGCATTCCAGTTTGTACTCCCAGAACTATGTGTCGTCTGGTTACTGGGAGGGGAAAGTGCTAATCACTAATCACTGTTCCAGTTCCAATTTGCAACATTGTGATCAACTCAGAAAATGTTCAAAGCAAAGCTCAGACCAGGAAAACCCAAAGATTAATTTGTACCATGAAATTTCAAGCTAAGTTTAAACCAGGAGAAACCAATCTTTCCATAATACCGTGTTTCTCCGAAAATAAGACCGGGTCTTATATTAATTTTAGTCACAAAAAAACACACTAGGGCTTATTTTCAGGGTAGGGCTTATTATTTACGTTACCAGTATGTACAGCTCTTTCTCTTTGCACTCATCTTGTCTGGGGATCAAAATACCATACTGTCTAATTAATCCACCCCCCTTAATAAATCCACCCCCTCTAATTAATCCACTCCCTTTAATTAATCCACCCCCTCTTTAATAAATCCACCCCCCTTTAATAAATCCACCCCCCTTTAATTAATCCACCCCCCTCTAATTAATCCACCCCCCTTTAATTAATCCAGCCCACCCTTTAATCCACCCCCTTTAATTAATCCACCCCCCTCTTTAATAAATCCACCCCTTTAATAAATCCACCCCCCTTTAATTAATCCACCCCCTTTAATCCACCCCCTCTAATCCACCCCTTTAATTAATTCACCCCCTCTAATTAATCCAGCCCACCCTTTAATTAATTCACCACCCTTTAATTAATCACCAACCCTTTAATTAATTCACCCCCTCTAATTAATCCAGCCCACCCTTTAATTAATTCACCCCTTAATTAATTCACCCCCTTTAATTAATTCACCCCCCTCTAATTAATCCAGCCCACCCTTTAATTAATTCACCACCCCTTTAATTAATTCACCCCCTCTAATTAATCCAGTCCACCCTTTAATTAATTCACCCCCCTCTAATTAATCCAGCCCACCCTTTAATTAATTCACCACCCCTTTAATTAATTCACCCCCTCTAATTAATCCAGTCCACCCTTTAATTAATTCACCCCCCTCTAATTAATCCAGCCCACCCTTTAATTAATTCACCACCCCTTTAATTAATTCACCACCCCTTTAATTAATTCACCCCCCTCTAATTAATCCAGCCCACCCTTTAATTAATTCACCACCCCTTTAATTAATTCACCCCCCTCTAATTAATCCAGCCCACCCTTTAATTAATTCACCACCCCTTTAATTAATTCACCCCCCTCTAATTAATCCAGCCCACCCTTTAATTCACCCCCCCCTTTAATTAATTCACCCCCGCCCCCTTTAATTCAGTCCCAGACATAAAATATCTACCGGTACTCACATTTCAAAGATTCCTTGCCGAGTCCGACCACTGGGTGCCTCACCGCCCGGAAATGGATCCTTCCGCTGAAGATCCGTGAAGGCAGACTGACGGCGCTGCAAAATGTCGTCATCACGTTGCGCGATGCCGCGGCCCGCAACGCTCCTCCTACAGTACAAGAAGGAAGTCTCGCCGCAAAGGTGCAATGCCTAGGTCTTATTTTCGGGGTAGGGCTTATATTGCAGCCCACGCCGAAAATCCGACTAGGGCTTATTTTCGGGGTAGGGTTTATTTTCGGGGAAACACGGTAGCTCATTATCTAGGGCAGTGCGTTCCCACTTAGTCCTTAAGGCACATCAGCAACCCAGCTTTTGCCTTTAGTTGTATAATACTTAGTAAATACAGAATAGAAACAGAAACATCCCCTATGTCACATCTGCTTTTTAACAGGAGCATTTACAATAAACCTATATTAACAAATGCAAACCTAAACTTCACCGTATATACTGATCAGCCACAATATTTAAACCACTGACAGGTGAAGTGAATAACATTGATTATATTGTCAGGGGGTGGGATATATCAGGCAGCAAGTGAACAGTCAGTTCTTGAATTTCATGTATTGGAAGCAGGAGACACAGTCAAGCGAAAAGATCTGAGTGACTTTGACATGGGCCAAATAGTGATGGCTAGACGACCTACGATGGTTCAGAGCATCTGCTAAACAGCAAGTCTTGGTGCTGTTCCTGGTCTGCAGTGGTTGGTACCTACCAAAAGTAGTGCAAGAAAGGACAACCGGCATCAGGCCAAGGCTCATTGATGCATGGGGGAAAGTAGGCTATCTCGTCTGGTCCAATCACACAGAAGAGCTACTGTAGCTCAAATTGCTGAAAAACATAATGCTGGCCATGATAGAAAGGTGTCAGAACACACCGTGCATCGCAGTATGTTCCATATGGGGCTGTGTAGAAGCAGACCAGTCAAAGTGCCCATGATGACTCCTGCCCACCACCGAAAGCACCTTCAATGGAGAAGTAAGCATCACAACTGGAAAATGGAGTAATGGAATAAGGTTTGTCATGTTTTTTTCTTCTATTTTATCTTTTTTCCCCCTTTTTTTAATCTTTTTCTCATTTTTTCAGTTTTTTTGTCTTTTTGCCTTTTTTAACCATTTTTTTTTTGTTACAACAGAATATCAATTAGTGGAGGATCCACCTGAATATTTAAGAACTTTCAGCTTCATTCATATGATGTTTATGGACTGTATATAGTTGTAAATAATTTGGATGTACATACTATGACATTTTGTTACATGCATTATAGATGAATTCATAGAGGGATCATCAATCTGTATATTTGGCAATAGTGGTCCTTTTTTTCCTTTTTTTTCGAATTTAGTTCTATCTTTATGAATTTGGTGTATCTGGTGGACAATAAATGAACGTTTGCAGACTTACATATCGATTCTTTTTTGGATGCATATTTTTATGCATGTGAGTGCGGTATTAAGAGATCTAGTTCTTTCTATATGTAATTGAGGTCCATTTGGGGATTACCTCTAACACCTGAACCATTACGTAATGGAGTGCCAACACAATAAATATTGATCCGTGGAAGAAGGTTGCCTGGTCTGATGAATCATGTTTTATTTTAGACCAAGTGGATGCAGGGTGCATGTGCGTCGATTACCTGGGGAAGAGATGGCAGCAGGATGCACTATGGGAAAAGGGCAGGTAGGTGGAGGCAGTGTTATGCTCTGGGCAATGTTCTTCTGGGAAGTCTTGGGTCCTGGCATTCATGTGGATGTCCCTTTTGACACATACTACCTACCTAGAGATTGTTGCAGACCACGTACACCCCTTTATAGCAATAGTGTTCTTTGATGGCACTAGCCCCTTTCAGCAGAATATTGCACCCTGTCACACTGCAAAAATTGATCAGGAATGGTTCAAGGAACATGACAAAAAATTCAAGGTGTTGTCTTGGCCTCCAAATTACCCAGATCTCAATCTGATTGAGAAACAGACAATAGACAAGCTGGTGGGAATGAAGAAATTGAGAAGAAGCGTTTTTTCTTTTTCTTCGCAAGAGGACAACTAAGCAGCTTAGTTTCCCATGCTGGACAAGAGGCTCTGCCCAATGATATGGTCTGTATCTCCTGTCCAATCAAATGGAGGAAACAAAAGATAATTGATAGAAAAAAATTATGATTGACGTTTAGGAGGGCAGTCACGAAACGTGGATTTTTTTAACTGATCAACTGAAAAGTTACCAATAGTGGGGAAAAGAAGAAGCTGTAAGGAATCTATTTATTTCCATGAAGGATTCTTCCAGACACTTTGACAAATAGGCACATTTTTGCATCATTTTGGATTCATCTGAATCAAAACGCCACGTGGACGAAAATCTATATTTCTAAACAAAAAAACAAAAACATTTGCAGACAAACCTATTTTTGTTTGCCATGCACAAGTCTATGTATGATCACTTACCCGGCTCTGTTAGGTGCACGCAGTATGTTCAGCCTGGGCTAACACACTAAAGTTCAGTCTACTGTATAAACAGACCCACTTTGGACATCCCGCATTGGCTGAGACCTGTCAGTATATCAGATAGACTGTGGGTACCTAAAAGAGCCAGGTATGTGTCAAGCTATTTGGAAAACAGGCGATTCCTGGGACCATAACACCATAACCACTACAAAGTGGTATTTATACTTTAATAACTCATTGAGCAGAAAATAAAGATCATAAATGAAGATATGAAATGAAGATTAAGATGTCATTGAGATTCTGAATCAGGATTCCTTCTCACGTAAATGTCAGTGGTGTCTGTGCTCTGCGTGCCTCGGAGGGTTAAACTAATGTTGTTGATCTGAAAGATAGATAGAAATACACAGAATGAGGGCGGGTAGCTGTGACCCTTGTCTGACTAGGGGGCCTTTATCTATATTTATTTTCCCTTTGAGTTATCCAATGAAATATGCATCATTCTGACAGTAAGACCTGCAGAGAGCAGGTTGGAACAGAGCTTCCTCGCCGGGCTGTCACTCAGCTCAGCCGAGAGATCGCCAGCACTGTCAGCTCATTCTGTGTCCCAGTCCGCAGTTTGAAATCTGGGCGGATCGTACAGAAAAATGTACTGTGTAACAACGCACACGTTATTCAAAGTTTACATTGTGTCATTGTGAACAATTAATGGAACAGCGATTTGTTATCTAATCCGGGAGTTTTAGTACTTAATGAATGAACTGGGATATAACCGAGTTAAAGAATTTTTCCAAATCAGCTATTTTAATATACATTTTGACATTCTAAATTCTAGAATTCGAAATTCACTGCCATTAACCGTTTTTGGAATAAACCTCTAGTATTAGACCTACTTGCAGTTAATGCTCCCATTCCAAACTAAATGATATATTCTGCGAATAAAAGTATATTTAAATGAATGTGTTGAAAAATTCCCGATTTACACTTGAGATATATAGAATCATCAGAAGAGAGCTGCATAAGGTAAAGTATTCCTTGAACAATATCGGGCCAGTCTGCAACAAAAAAACATTCTACAGACATATTTTATTAAAGAATCCTTCGTCCCAAAAAAATATTTAAAATGCCAGATCAACTTTAAAATGAATAAAAGAGCATTTAGAGTTTGACAATTAACAACCGGGAGATTGCAGGGAGAAAACATTATGGATGATTGGAGTTGTAGTGCATGTAACCAGAGAATCATGCTCTCCCAGGCCTATCTAAATACCGGCACTACTTAAGATATGGCCAAGTGTAAGTGATATATTAGCTGTGTCCTGTAACAGACTAGCAATCAGAGTTTGCCGATGACAGTAACTGGCTGGAATCCCAACACCTGCAGTTATACAGCGACCCAAATCCAATTAACTGTAAGACACGGAGTACAGAAAAATCTGGTCTCCTGCCCTTATTCTCTCCACAACAAATATTAATTCCAAATATTAATCTTTAAATAAAATGAAAACTTCCCTTAGAAAACACAAAGTAACAATTCTGTATAAGGAACAATTCTGGGGTCAAATTCTAAAAGCTCAGCTATCAGAAGAACATTCCACTGGTTTCCACGGTGACTGCTTCACTTTCAATTGTTCTTTTTTTGAGAACCCATTAAGTTTAAACGATGTAGGTTTACGTTGTGTTTTAGGAAGCAGTTTACATTGACACACACTACTTCCTTTATTACACGTGACAGAAACATATAAACGTTTGCCCAGGAAATGTCAAAAGGGCCGGTGCAACTAGAAATAGCCTCCCTCAAGTCTGAATGAACAGAGCAATTTAAAGGAACACTATAGTCACCAAAGCAACTTTAGCTTAATGAAGCAGTTTTGGTGTATAGATCATGATCCTGCAGTTTCACTGCTCAATTATCTGCCATTTAGGAGTTAAATCACTTTTGTTTCTGTTTATGCAGCCCTAGCCACACCTCCTCTGGCAGTGGCTCACACAGCCTGCATGAAACTAAATGGTTTCACTTTCAATCAGATGTAACTTACTTTAAATGTTTTTTTCTCCTGCTCTGTAAATTGATTTAATTACCTGCAGGAGGCTCTTGCACGGTCTAGAAGGCTATTAAAAGAGCAGGAGATAAGAAATTCTAAATTAAACAGTATGTTCAATGCAGGAAGTGTAAACATTAGATGACTCTTTACAGGAAGTGTTTGGTAGGCTGTGTAAGTCACATGCAAGGAGGTGTGACTAGGGCTGCATAAACAAAGCTATTTTACTCCCAAATGGCAGAGTTTAGAGCAATGAGACTGGAGGGGTATCATCTATAGACCAAAATTGCTTCATCAAGCTAATGTTGTTTTGGTGACTATAGTGTCCCTTTAGCCCGTTGAGGACCGATGACAGTTTAGGACCGTCATCAGAAACAAACAATCAAACTGCATTTTCAATAGTGTGCATTCTGATAAATTCACGTTAGGGAAACTAGATGCAGTAATGATAACTATGGACACAAGTTAGCATTTTCTGACGTTTTTAACTAATTAGGAAAATTTGCTATAGTAAATGTACCCGATGTCAGTGACTCCCAGTTCTCATGGCTGAGGATGATAGGAATTACATAAAGTAATTTATTCACTAAACAGAAAATTCTAAAGAACTGACAATGAGAATTGCTAGTGTTGCTGTTTTTTATTTCAGATTAAACCATTAATCTGTGGATCCTTGGAAAGAGTATTAACGCATTTAAAATATAATAAGAAGAGTCTGTCTCGTGTTCAGTGCCTGGAACTATAGGGGTTAAATCTCTGCATGTTTCTCTAATGTGGAAAGACTTCAAAGAGAAGCCATAAAATATATATTTATCATTGAGTTTTAAGTGACTGGAGTGTAACCTCTTCTGTTTTAGTTTGTTCAACCGCAGCCCCAGAGGTATTCATAAGGACTTAAATAGCCAGCTCTTAAAACTAAACAGCCGATATGCTTGAAGAAGAGTCAAGTTTATGGGTCAATCTTTCATGAAGGAGCCCCGTAGCATTCAGAAAGGGCCGAGCACAAAGCTCAGCAATGCTATTATGTATTTCAACTCATCAAACATGGAATCAGAGCGAATTAAAATCCCAAATGCAACATTGATTTTCAAAATGTTTCCAGCTCTGTTATAGGCAGAGCTTGGATATTTTAACCTGAGTTTTAGAATATAGATTATATTTCACTAGAATTAAGTGTTTGGTGAATAAGGCTCAATTTAAAAAAACAGAGTTGAAAAATAGAGGGGGGGGGGAGAGGGAGTGTTTTATTAATCATTCTCTATAGAGAAGGAATTCAGATGAATGTTCCTTATCATTGTCTAGGAGTTAGTATTACATTAACCAGTAATGCTGCCAAGTTACAATCTGCAGAACATTCAGCTCAGCGCCCTCTGGCTCCTAAATATTAACCCTTTCAGAACTACGGGGGAGGGCAATGGGAAAGTGATTGCTTTCAAAGTCTTATTCCTCCAGAAATAACGTTTGCCAAAATTCAATCCATATTGCCACTTATGGGCCCATGTTAAAGGACACTCCAGACCCTTAAAGCACTTCAGCATTTTAGAATGTTTTATGTGTAAAAAGCATTTTTTAATGCAGATTTCAATAGAAATTGGAAGAAATTTACACTTTATAAATGTCAATCACATACCTTCCAGCTCCAGTGTCCTGGAGGGGGCACACAGGGTGGGCCAATGATGTGATAGTGTCAATAACTCTACCCAAAGGTGTGGACCTGCCATAGAAAAGGGGTTGGATCACAGTGGCGTCTGCCCACTGTGGACAGAAACTGCAGGGAGCACTGTTTCATAGTGCAGGGTCCTACTGCCCTGAACATAGTGTGAGCGGGTCTAATGATGCACATGTGCAATGTTTAATAGGGACAGTTCCCTTTTGCCCTCAAAAGCAATACACTAGGGAACTAAGTCATTTGGAATATTTCATTAGAGTCAGGACGGTGGGACAGGATCTGAAAATTCTGACAAAATAGGAATTGTTGGGAGGCCTGCAATCAGACAACTGGTCCTGTTACTTCCTTGCTTATTTAGCTCAGTGCAGACAAACTCGAGGGGCAGCAATTGCCCAGAGCACCTGTCTTGCAAAGACTTCTTATTGAGATGCATTAGGAAGTCTGTGATAGGACAACCACAGAAAGTCTGGGTGGGGTTAAAAGAGGAGGGCTTGTAAAGGCTGCAGACAAGAAAACTGTAGCTTTTGCAAGATATTTTTATATATAACTCCAAATGAAAAAATGCAGAATTAACACTTGCATGTTTTCATTGGTGTATATCTGCTAAACAGTATCCCTTTAACTTGTTTGAGAATTGCATCCTATTTCCATGAAATCGAGGCAGAGATAGTCTTTCCGGGGTCAGTAACTGAAGGATTAATGTGAGCTACCTGTGTGTTAGAATAGACAACACAACCAACACATGAGGTTACATTCATTAGAGAGAATCATCCGAAAAGGAAGGATCTGATGGGAATGAAGTCTCCAAATAAGTGAGTTTCAGATAAACAACGAATCCAATCATCTATTGAAAAAAATAGAAAATAGATATTTCTGTTTCCTTCTGCTTCTATGCATCTAATGTTACCATTCCGGCAAAGTTCATACTATATAAATACATTATGATTAATCTGAATCAATGTTAGAGTAACGGAACACAAGGGTGATCTAAGGTAACTGACGAGAACTATATGATGGATAACATGACACAAGCTGTATATATATATATAGACAAGTGATAAATTACTCCATATAAACACAGCCCAGAGAACTCTGACTGAGTCCATACAACATACTGACCCATAGTGCAGATACTGTTAGTCAATACAACATACTGACACACAGTGCAGATACTGTTAGTCCATACAACCTACTGACACATAGTGCAGATACTGTTAGTCAATACAACCTACTGACACATAGTGCAGATACTGTTAGTCCATACAACATACTGACACATAGTGCAGATACTGTTAGTCAATACAACCTACTGACACACAGTGCAGATACTGTTAGTCCATACAACCTACTGACACATAGTGCAGATACTGTTAGTCCATACAACATACTGACACATAGTGCAGATACTGTTAGTCAATACAACCTACTGACACATAGTGCAGATACTGTTAGTCCATACAACATACTGACACATAGTGCAGATACTGTTAGTCAATACAACCTACTGACACACAGTGCAGATACTGTTAGTCCATACAACCTACTGACACATAGTGCAGATACTGTTAGTCAATACAACCTACTGACACATAGTGCAGATACTGTTAGTCAATACAACCTACTGACACATAGTGCAGATACTGTTAGTCCATACAACCTACTGACACATAGTGCAGATACTGTTAGTCAATACAACCTACTGACACATAGTGCAGATACTGTTAGTCCATACAACCTACTGACACACAGTGCAGATACTGTTAGTCCATACAACCTACTGACACACAGTGCAGATACTGTTAGTCCATACAACCTACTGACACACAGTGCAGATACTGTTAGTCCATACAACCTACTGACACATAGTGCAGATACTGTTAGTCCATACAACCTACTGACACATAGTGCAGACACTGTTAGTCCATACAACCTACTGACACACAGTGCAGACACTGTTAGTCCATACAACCTACTGACACACAGTGCAGACACTGTTAGTCCATACAACCTACTGACACATAGTGCAGACACTGTTAGGATATTCATGAAAGTTTTAATTGCTGGGAATTGAAAGTGAATTTAAAATCTTAGGCCACAATAGCCTGACTGAAACATTTTTCAGCTATGTTATTAATTCAGCTGCTTTGGATGACAACATAAAAATCACTTTGCATTCCTGACAATGCACACTTTAGTGAATAAGTCCCTATTTGAGTGAATTCTTGCACTGGCTTTAATACACCGTTTCTAGTTACAGACTGGACGGTTTTAGAGTTGGGAAGCCAGCCATAATCTTTGTCTTGTGTTATTAAGTCAGATCAGGACAGCTTAAGACAGCAATCAAAAATGCCATCCTATTTTACCCAGATACATTTGTACAATCTATTCTCTTGGTTCAACAAAAAATATAACCGTTAAAGGGACACTATAGTCACCTGAACAACTTTAGCTTAATGGAGCAATTGTGGTGTATAGAACATGCCCCTGCGGCCTCACTGCTCAATCTTCTGCCATTTAGGAGTTAAATCCCTTTGTTTATGAACCCTAGTCACACCTCCCGGCATGTGACTTGCACAGCCTTCCATAAACACTTCCTGTAAAGAGAGCCCTATTTAGGCTTTCTTTATTGCAAGTTCTTTTTAATTAAGATTTTCTTATCCCCTGCTATGTTAATAGCTTGCTAGACCCTGCAAGAGCCTCCTGTATGTGATTAAAGTTCAATTTAGAGATTGAGATACAATTATTTAAGGTAAATTACATCTGTTTGAAAGTGAAACCAGTTTTTTTTTTCATGCAGGCTCTGTCAATCATAGCTAGGGGAGGTGTGGCTAGGGCTGCATAAACAGAAACAAAGTGATTTAACTCCTAAATGACAGTGAATTGAGCAGTGAAATTGCAGGGGAATGATCTATACACTAAAACTGCTTTATTTAGCTAAAGTAATTTAGGTGACTATAGTGTTCCTTTAATGTCCTGAAAAATTCATCAAACTGCGAGGTGCAGCAAACTATGTTGGAGCTATATAAATAATAATAATAATAATCAAGATATATGTCCCTTCTCCACTAAGTGGGGATCAAGAGACATAAAGTAGACAATGGGGAGAAGAATAGCACCGTTACTGTATAATGTATTAATAAATCAGCAAGCTGGTCTGAAACTGAAAATGTTGAAAGTGATGTCATATGATGTCAAAACCCACGTTCTTTGTCACTGTGACCTGTAAGGATTCCTGAGAAGGAAGAGATCTGCTCTCCTGGAAACTGTAAATATTATAAAAATTTAATTATCCAAATATGTTGTTATTGATATATAGCTATAGATACTGAATAAACAGAAAAGTCCAGGGGGTTCTAGCAGTACCAAACTTTTATTACGCTTGTCATCTCCTGAGGGTGGTTGAAAGGGTGAAGGAGGGGACACTGGGAAGAAACATATGGTGTCCTGGTGGGTAGGCCCAAGCAGGCATTGCTACATTTAGATGTATAGTGTACAAGGGTAGTTCCTCTAAAAAAACGAATAGCATAACATACTGCAATGTTGTACGCAATCGCCACTCTGAGCAAATTCCAACTGGCCATTCACTATTATGCAGAATAAATGAAGCCTTCAAATTATCCTGGTCAGGAAGTATTTTTTCACGTTTCCACTCGGTATCATATATAATGGAACATAAAGGAATAAAGTGAAAAGTGTGAAACAAGGATCGAGTAAAGTGCAAAAATAGTCTTTATTACTTCCACATAGGTAAGGAACAGCAATATAACAGTCCTAAGCGTTTTGTCACCTCCAGGCAATTCCTCAGGGACAAGCGCTGCTATGTACACAATGGAATAAGGAATATCTACATTTAGACAAGCAGTCGAGTAGACACTTAGAAAAGGTTGTTATTATAAATGGGCCACGAGTATACTATCTGACATGCCCTTGCACAACCCATGGACCTATTTTCCTTTCCCTCAGTGTTACCTCCATTGGTTTTCAATCCCTCCTTCCCTTCTGGGTTATAATCCAGGGTTTTACAAACACTATTTCAACAAAAGGTGCCTCAGGTCCGCCACTTCCTTACGGAGATACTGATGGGTACCGTTACAAAATCTAGTACAGGGACCCCTGCCTCACACGAAAATTGACAGACTTTGACGTACAGAGCATGAGATCTCTTTTCTATACACCCTTCAATGGCAAAGTAAGTTCCCAACTCCGGCCTTTTTTGGCTGCTGTAAAATAGCCTAAAAAACAACTTTTTTTATAATTCTTTATTTTTGTTGTGCACATATAACAATACAAGCTTGCATTGCCACAACAGCATCAGCACGCAAAAGTAAAACATAATAGAAAACATTAGTGTTGCTTCCACAAACCTGCACAATGTTTATATTTTGAGCACGAGAGGATGTAAGAATGTGAGTCAGGAGAGGAGCTAGAAAGATGTCTGCTTAGAATGACATCTGACTTTACTTGTAATAAAACATGAGGAGAAAGAAACAGGCTAATTTACTTAGTTTGAAATAGTAAGAGAAGAGAAACAAACTAGACGCATGATATAAACTAGGTGTAAAATAGCTAACGTGAGATTACTGTAGAGCACGTGTGTTTAATAATGCCACTGGATACTTGTCACATATAAGAGTCTAGGAGAGAAGAAAAATAGATGAGTCCTTGCACTGTGAACTGGATGAACTGTGAGTGAGCAGGACCACTATCGCCAGACATTCATCACACACCACACATTGTCCACACTAAATAGTCCAGCTCCAGTCTAGGTAGGATGCCATTGCTTTTCCTTATGCTGTGCTTAGGAGGTAGCTGGACTCCGGGTATGTAAGCTGTAGGTGAACCACCACAACATGGTTCTTCACCCCCCATGCCAAGAAGAGCCGGAGCTGCATGTCCACAGACCCTCTAGCACCTCTCTGCAGGGTCCCCGAGCCTAAAGGATGAGCATAGGTTGGAGAACCCGCTGGGTATGTGGGCGTCTGGTAGAAGTTCCCTCCGCGTGAACCCCCAGCTCGGAGTGGGATAGCTGCTTCGACGCACAGCACGAGGTTCGGACTGTTCAATTGGAGTGATGATGTGAGGTTTGCCGTAGATGCATTCCCAGATCTTCTGACATATTTGATCGAAATTGGCATTAAAACACTCTCCAGGTCAGGATGATTGTATGGTCTTGGTGTCGTGAGGGTTGCGATGCAGCTGCCATCTTGGGAGCGTCATGCAGTCGGCTTTTCAGCCGGGGATTCCGCTGTTGCAGTTAGGTGAGTTTCTCCAGTGTGGACCGGTATATCTCCCACGGGTTAAAGATAGGCCTCAGTGTCAGATGAATCCAGTTCACTGTATTTCTCGTCAACCCAAGTAACCCTGTGTTCCCACTCAGTGTTAATAAGTGCACAGGTCATGTGAAGCGGCATCCAGAGTGGTTTTCAGCAGAAAAGACTTATTACAAGCTCGAGTATTCCAGAGCTATCACAGAACATGTCCGGCCATCTTGGTTGTCAGGCCCCTCCCCCCATAAACTACTTTTTAAGAACCACACAGAGAAAACGTGTAACTTTATTCACCAGTGTTCCCTGTCTAGCAGAACACATGAATCTGCATATATGTTACTTTGCATGTGGTACATATCTCTGCAGATCCTAAGCAGATTTGATCCCTCTGAGGATGGTGAATGACACACTGGGCCCTTATCAACATATCCGATAGGATTGTCCATGCATAACTGTTTTGGAAGCAGGTATATGACATAATTAATCTATTTATTGACCAGCCTCCACCAATTCATTAGGAATCGTTCCTCCTCCACCATACCTCAGTGGTGACTTCTATTTACAAATAAATCACTGACCATCTTGAATGTTGCTATACATCTAATTCCCCTAATGTGGTGCAAACCTTACACACCCTCAATACAGTTCTGGTTCTCCAGGGTGGAGGATCTCAGGGCGATAGAGGTACTTACCTTTAGTGCATTAGGACGTACACACATATATATGTCTATCTGGACACACTGGATCATGATCACAGTAACCACTGAATTTCAGACACTCCTTCGAGGACCACAGCCACCGTGTGGGACAGAGGGCAGGTGTCAAGTAGCCTAAAGGGCAGGTGGGAACGACCATAGGAAACCTTTTCTTTCGACTTTCCCTCTCTTTACTGACTTTCTTTTAATTATACTTTGAACTCTACTTTCTGCTTTTCCACATACACTTAAGCACATATACACTGATATATAGTGCGCTAACTGAAGAATTACGCTATTTGAGGTCTATTGCTGAATCATTATGCTCCTACAATTTTAAGTCACCTGTCTTGAAACCATAGAGATATGTCAGCCTCATAGTTTATGTTTATGCAACTTGGATCTGTTACCTTCTTGGAGCCTACGTGATCTGATCTAACTGTTGTTCTTTTGTCTTTGAAGAAAAAAAGCCTAAACAAATATTTACACAACAAAAACCAAACACACTTACCTCCACAACACACACAAATGTTTGCTTCTAATGAAGTGAACATGCGTGTGCATGCATTGGCATGCAAGCGAATGCCCTCTTACCGTGCCCACATCCAGCATCATTCAGGTCACGGATATTTGTATCACATGCCCAGCTATGCCATGACGACAGCCTGGCATGTGATGTAAGTTGAATAAAATAAAATTTGTGTATTTTTTCTAAATAGCACGACTCATATATAACATTTAGGAAGTGACAGGGGTCCTTTGATGCATTGCTTGGGAGCTCTCTCTCATGGTCAGTCTGCTGTTCAGAGGATTCCTGAAATTCTTTTTTCTTTATACACTGTATCCCTGCAGCTATTTGGAGAAGAATTTAATTTGTTATCTTTCCTCTCCCATGTTCCCAGAAGCCTGGTACGAACCCTTGAAGCAATGATACATGATACAAGAAAGCGATTTCAAAGTCCCAATATTACAAGGTACATAAAAGCAATTAGCCGGTTATATAAACTATAAACATCCCTGGTAGAAGAACTGCGCGTATCTCAATCCTGGCAGCCCACCTTTGTCACCTGTTGGAACTGCAATTGGACAGTCAGTTATTCTGTACAGAACTATTAGGAAATTATATTATGATCAAAATGTGTAACACATACTTTCTTTTTTTGGAATCAAGAATGACTGAATACCGAACAGGTCTATCTACAAATGTCATTTATAGATGTTAAAGTTACTGGGTTCTCCGGTACAAGAAAGTCATAATAAATCATGGTTACTTTAAATTTTGGCTTTGGAATTCAGCAAATAAATTAACTATGAATGTATTTTTATGTAGATGAATCAAGGATCCTTTTTGTATTGTATTCTCCATGAAATGAGAAGCCAGGAGAGGGTTTTTTTGAACATGCAGCAGCAAATAAGGAATAGTGGGTGAGGACAATTAGTGATGAAGATAGGTAAGGTTGATGAGTAATGAAGATTTTTGAGGACAATAAGTGATGAAAATAGGTGAGGATGGTGACTGATGAATGAGGGTGAGGTTGGTGAGTGATGAAGGACAGTAAGGATGAAAGGTGATGAAGTTGGGTATGTAGATGAGAGATAAAGGTGGTTGAAGACTATAAGTGATGAAGATGGATGAGGAAGAAGACTGATGAAGGTGGGTGAGGACAGTAGGTGATGAAGGTGGGTGAGTACAATGGGTGATGAAGGTGGGTGATGACGATGGGTGATGAAGGTGAATGTAGACAATGGGTGATGTAGGTGAGTGATGAAGGTGGATGAGGATGATGGGTGATGAATGTAAGGGATGAAGGTGGGTGAGGACGATAGGTGAGTTTGATTGGGTGATGAAGGTGAGTGAGGACGATAGGTGAGTTTGATTGGGTGATGAAGGTGGGTGAGGACGATGGGTGTGTTTGATTGGGTGATGAAGGTGGGTGAGGACGATGGGTGTGTTTGATTGGGTGATGAAGGTGGGTGAGGACGATGGGTGAGTTTGATTGGGTGATGAAGGTGTGTGAAGAAAATCATCACAATTACTTTACATTCCATCAGCAATGGTGGACAGGAGAAACAACACTTAAACTGATAAATGTTGTTATTGTGTTTTTAGGATAAAGGGAGTGGATGAGACCCCCTAATTTGAAGCTGCTCCATTAATCTTCGTCTATTTACTAGGACATTTCTAGCCATGTCTAAATCAGGAGTATTTTTTGGTATCAGACATTCCTTCATCTGTGTGTCTGGTGCCATCAGAATCTATTGGTCTCGATATAAAACCATCGATAGCGTTATAAATGAAAGGAGTGGCAGATTTATCGCAGAGAGCACAAATCCTCCATCCATAAGGAAGGCCTCCTGTCTTGCAGACCATGCGCAATACTCATAATTCACCCTGTGATTGCATTCTATCACATCACAAAAGACAGGCAGATGTGACGGACAGCTCACCGAAATGACTTAGTGCCTCTATACAGAAATCACATTGGCTTTGCTTTCCTACCAGAGTTCAAGAGCAGATGGCTGCTTTCTGGGCTCAGCTACCTCTCTGTGCTGTGATCAATAAATTATGGTTCAAATGAAAACATGTGCCAGTGTTTGGTAAAAAGAATCACATAGCCACATGATGAAAAATGAAAAACAACTTGCATATCTCACTAGCTCAGTTCATCATCTCTCTGCACCCTTTTATATCCAAAATGTAGGCACAATTAAAGAAGGTAAATAATACAAAATCTAATTCAATAAATAGTTTACGTTCTATCTCTGGAGAAACATTGTAAAATGCAAACTTGTTTCACTGCGTCATCATTTCCAGAGGTGGAAACCCAAACCCGTACACTGCCCATCAATCTAAGCCACACAACCTCAAACTCGTCTACCGTTAACTAAAAAGCAATTGTTTAATACAGAAATGTCATTGCACCAACTACTTATTGTTAATTAAGTTGTTATGGTTCCTGCAGTGTCCTTTTAGTGATGTCATTAAGATATATTATTATGACATGTTGTAATCGGTCAGATTGATCACGCTGTTCACTATCTATATATATATATTAAATTGTATGATGTCATTGAGGTGGATTGTGAGGACATACTGTAACCAGACAATATGAATGAAGGAACATTTCAGAGGGGAACCCCAAGATGATGGGATGAGTCATTTTAGGCCAAGCATTATCCTTGCCGTAAAAATACTCCAAAACGACTCCAGTGTCCAGGAGGACTGGAATATATCTATTCAGCCGGGTGGGATTAGTGAGATAGCCCTCTGAAAAGACAGTGCTTACATTGTGGCCTAGTCACTCAGATGGCCACTAGACGTTCTTCTTGGGTTAGTATTTCACTAACATTCAGTGTCCCCATCCTTTGCATGGAGGCGCTGAACGTTCACCATATGCATGGATTCTATGTATCTCTAGGAGGAGATGCTGATTAGCACAGCAAGGTGTTTTGCATTTGATTGGCTGAGGTTGTGAAATTTGATGATCTCAGCCATGGAGGCGAGACTAGTGCAACGTGGGAGAAAAGGTGAGTACAATCACCTAAATAGTTATTTTACCACTAAAGTGTCAGGAATACATGTTTGTATTCCTGACACTATAGTGTTCTTTTAAATGTCAAATTCACTTCGAATTCAACTAGTGAATAACACTGAGAGTGTCATGGGTGAGGGGGTCACAGAAGCTGGGAAATTATCCAAAAAGAGAGTACACCTTTAACAGGAGACATTGAACTCTGATACTCTGATGTATCTATTATTTTAATGTGTGTTACATCAGGGCCTACACTAATAGCCAGGACTTAAAAGTTACTAGCCACTGCAAACGTGGATAGTCCATAACATAGTCCATGAGTCTTGTTGCCAATTCGGGACAATACACTTTTTATTGAAAAACATGGCAGTAATGATTTCAAGGCTACTCACGGGAGTTCATTTTCTGAGCATCACAGCAAGAGCGGAAGCAGGTGGAGTTACATCCTTGGAAAGCAAAAAACGGGGCGCAAGAGAATACTGAGAACAGGCAGCAGCTGAAATAGCCTGCCCTTCGGTTGGTCTCCACTCAGATCTCAAGCTGGTTTTAGCGCATCTTGTGCCATTCCAGAGAGAACATCTCTGAAGCATATCAGACTGGTCCCACCCATACGGGCAATCCAGATCCGAAATACCAGTAAGTTCCCTCTGCACGAGAGATACAGCAACCCCAGACAATCGTTTCAGCCTTGTTAGGCATCACCAGTGAGGCATAGCTGATAGCTCTCTAGGCACCGTGAGCAGGGCCGGCCTTAGGCAATTAGGCGCCCTGTGCAAAAAGTCTTCACGGCGCCCCCCCCACCTCCCACCAAGTTGCCTGAATACAGTAACACACACAGGCACCGGGACGTGTGTATCACGAGGCAAACAAGGCATCTGCCTTGGGCGCCACTTTGCAGGGGGCGGCAAAAAAAAGCATCCCTCCAAACCCCCAGGCAGATCCCTTGCTTGCCTCGCATCCTGGGGGGCTCAAGAGCTGACCGGCTGGCCACTTTTGAGCCCCCCCAAGGCTGGCAGCGGGCAGCGAAGGAGCATACTCACCTGAGCTCTTCCTGCTCAGCTTCCTCTGCGCCGCTTAATGAAGCCGGGAGCCAGAATATGACGTCAGTCCGGCTCCCGGCATCACTAAGCGCTGCTTACTCAGCCTGTGCGCCCCCTGCCTGCCTGCCCAGCAGCCACACTGGACTGCTGGTAAGAAATCCACTCCAGCTTTCCCAGGGAGGCTGGGTGGATTTAAAATAAATGTAAAAAATATTAGTTTGTGAGTGTTAGTGGAAATGTCTGTGTGTGTGTCTGTGAGTGTTTATTTTGAAGTGAATGTGTGTGTGTGTGTGTGTGTCTGTAAGTGTGTAATTGTGTGTGTCTGTAAGTGAATGTGTGTGTGTCTGTGAGTGAATGTGTGTGTTGGTCAGTGAGTGTATATGTGTCAGTCAGTGAGTGTGTATGTGTCAGTCAGTGAGTGTGTATGTGTCGTCAGTGAGTGTGTATGTGTCGTCAGTGAGTGTGCGTCTGTCAGTGAGTGAGCGTCTGTCAGTCAAAGTGCGGCCTTGACAGGAAGGGGTGGGGGAAATTTAAACTCGGTTACAGGCATGTACACACACACTCAGTTAAAGGCAGTCACACATACAGGCACAGGCACAAACAATGGCACAGCTACAGCGACACACACAGACAGACAGTCACATAGGCAGTCACACACACAGACAGACACACAGTAACACACACATAGACAGTTATACACACACAGGCAGGCAGTCACACAGATAGAAAGTCACACACACAGGCAGGCAGTCACACACAGACAGATAGTTACAGACAGACACACACAGGCAGGCAGGCAGTCACATACAGGCAGTCACACACACAGGCAGTCACACACTCAGACAGACAGTCACACACACAGACAGTCACACAGACAGACAGTCTCACACACACAGGCAGTCACACAGACAGCAGTCACACAGACAGACAGTCACACACACAGGCAGTCACATACATGGGCAGTCACACAGACAGACAGTCACACACACACAGACAGTCACACACAGGCAGGCAGTCACACACAGAGACAGTCAGACACACACACAGAGACAGACAGTCACACACACACACACAAGGACAGGCAGTCACACAGACAGTCACACACACACACACAGTCACACGCACACAGGCAGGCAGTCACACAGACAGACAGTCACACACACACACAGACAGACAGTCACACAAACAGGCAAACAGTCACACACACACACTTACCTCTTTCCAGTGGATGCAGTTGGCTGATGGGGAAGCATCTTTCCCTCTTCCTGTACAGCAGGGGCTTCGGGAGGTATTAGCCCCGTCTCCGCCTCTCGATAAGCCCCGCCTCCGCCGCTCGGTAAACCCCGCCCCCTCTGCCGCGATTTTTTTTTTTTTTTTAATAGACCCGGGTGGAGAATAATTAATCCTCCAGCCAGGTACCTCTTTTAGCCCCCCTGCACTCCGGCCATGAGTGAGCTGTGTCGGCCACAGGGCGCCCCCTGTTCCATGGCGCCCTGTGCGGTCGCACAGCTCGCACACCCCTAAGGCCGGCCCTGACCGTGAGCAAGGGGTCCACATCTGGATTACCCTTTCTCTTCTGCCCCGTTTTTTCTCTCCACAAGTTTAAAGGGTAATCCAGACGTGGACCCCCTGCTCACGGTGCCTAGAGAGCTATCAGCTATGCCTCACTGATGATGCCTAACAAGGCTGAAACGATCGTCTGGGGTTGCTGTATCTCTCGTGCAGAGGGAACTTGCTGGCATTTCAAATCTGGACTGCCCGTATGGGTGGGACCAGTCTGATATGTTTCAGAGATGTTCTCTCTGTAATGGCACAATATGCGCTAAAACCAGCTTGAGATCTGAGTGGAGACCAACCGAAGGGCAGGCTACTTCAGCTGCTGCCCGTTCTCAGTATTCTCTTGTGCCCCATTTTTTGCTCTCCAGGAGTTACATCCTTTCCCCAATGTACACAGAATGTGTCAGTGCTGGCTGCAGAGAGTGCCCAATATACACAGAATGCATTGGGGCTGGCTGCAGAGAGTGCCCAATGTACACAGAATGCATTGGGGCTGGCTGCAGAGAGTGCCCAATGTACACAGAATGCATTGGGGCTGGCTGCAGAGAGTGCCCAATGTACACAGAATGCATTGGGGCTGGCTGCAGAGAGTGCCCAATGTACACAGAATGCATTGGGGCTGGCTGCAGAGAGTGCCCAATATACACAGAATGCATTGGGGCTGGCTGCAGAGAGTGCCCAATGTACACAGAATGCATTGGGGCTGGCTGCAGAGAGTGCCCAATGTACACAGAATGCATTGGGGCTGGCTGCAGAGAGTGCCCAATGTACACAGAATGTATTGGGGCTGGCTGCAGAGAGTGAACAAATGTACACAGAATGCGTCCGGACATTTATACCTTTTTAAACAATATACTAATAAAGTATTTTTAATTTATATACAAGTAAATGTTTATTGTTTTATCATCTTATACCTGTCATCGTATTTCCTGGTACATCCTGCATATCCCAGGTGGGGATAATACCAGCAACACTCTCTAAACCAGAGCAAGTCATTGCTCTGTATATTGTAAGTAGGATACCACTTATTTACTACCTACCTTGTGTATAGACATACTACACCATAAGCCTTCTTTTGCTTTATTTTCCCTATAGATACTGGATGGCAATCATAACAAAGCTCCACATATCCTAAGACGGGGATTGTACCATCCAGACGATTTACAGCAGAGCTCTTAGTAGCTCAGTAAAGTGTGAGTTGGCCCTCTATACACTTTATACAAAACATTGCATATATTGTTACATATTGCACTATTTGCTGTTCTTTTTTCTCCCTTTTGAGGCTACTAAAAGTCGTTCAATAACTGTATACATCGACCTCATAGAAGTATATGTAAATATATGCATTTATATTAGCACAAGGGTGCTGTACATTTATACTACACCTTTTTGGGCTCAGCTTGTCACTTTGTTTGTTATAATAAACACAGAATGCCACAGTGCTGGCTGCAAAGTGTGCACAATATACACAGAAAGCATTGGGGCTGGCTGCAGAGAGTGCCCAATATTCACAGAAAGCGTTGAGGCTGGCTGCAGAGTGTACCCAATATACACAGAAAGCGTTGGGGCTGGCTGCAGAGATTGCCCAATATTCACAGAAAGCGTTGGGGCTGGCTGCAAGGTGCCAACCATTGTCATTGATAGGGATATGAAAGTCAGGTGCCCCCCAGTACACACAATCAGATGGGCAGCAGGTAACCTACCCCTCCTACCCCCCGACGTCTAGGTAGATGCTTAGTGCTGGGGAATAATGGAAATATCACATAAAAGGTTTAGATTTTGCCATTTGATTTCCAAAGATCCCTCAGTAAAGTTTGTTTATTTTAATTCTGAGGACCCTGTCTCTCACAGCCCCCCCCCCCCCCCCCCCCCCCCACTTCTGGCAATCCCCTTCTAATCTCAGGAAGGCTTAATACTCAGTGACATCCGTATCACAGGGGTTAAACATCAGTGCTGGTGACTCTTCACATGCAGCGCACAAACATATGTCTGAGTTGCTGGGGGTAAAGGAGGCAAACATAATGCCAGATGTTGGAATGCAGAAAGCGTAATGTCTGGCTCTTTTAGATCCAAGAGTCAAATTCTCCAAAAAATGAGGGTAAAGACCACATGGAAGGTAAGACATTACAAATCAGCATACATACGTTGCTGTCAATGCAAACACATGTACCGGACCAACTCCAGGTGCGTCTAAGGAATCTCCCACAACATTGACAAAGTGAGATTTATTTATTAAATGAGGAATTGCAGTGAACAATCACATTGCAGTGTGTTAGCGAACATAGCCTGGGCGATTAGTGAGGGTTACAATGTGTACCTGCTGGTCCTCTCACACCGCACAGCTGTTGGTGATCATGACACTAGGGTCCTGTGTAATTTAGGGTTGCATTTTAAATCCTACAAATCACCCTGTGACTGCACCCTGATCTAGGTATGCTCATCGAGAACACAATACGTCCATCAGTATTCTGCCAGCAACTATTCTCCTGCCATGACCCCAAACTCTTGCTAAAAAGATGTTTCCATTTCCCTGTTTTGCAACACATGCCTTACTTAATTGGACCTTTCCCCCGACTTGCAGGATTTACTAAAATCCTAATTATCATTATAATAATAACCCAATAACTAATAAACTAATAATTGAACTTTGATTGACTGATTGTGGCGGTGTCCCCGACATGCCCAGTGTTTCTCTAGAAGAAGAGTCACCCATTAGGGAAATCACGTAGGAGGAACATCTGCCTAATGGAGAAGCCCCCTCACTGTAGGAGGAACCCCTAATGGAAAAGCCCCCTTACTGTAGGTGGAGTCCCTTATGGAGAAGCCCCCTCACTGTATTAGGAGCCCCTACTGGAGAATCCCTCCCCCCACTGTAGGACTAGTCCCTAATGGAGAAGCCTCCTCCAATGGAGAAGCCCCCTCACTCTAGGAGGAGCCCCTAATGGAGAAGCCCCCTCATTATAGGAGGAGTCCCTAATGGAGAAGCCACCTCATTATAGGAGGAGTCCCTAATGGGGAAGCCCCCTCAATGTAGGAGGAGCCGCTAATGGAGAAGCACCTTCATTGTAGGAGGAGCCCCCTAATGGAGAAGTCTCTTACTGTAGAAAGAGCCCCTAATGGAGAAGCCCCCTCACTGTAGGAGGAGTTCCTAATGGAGAAGTCCCTCACTGTAGAAAGAGCCCCTAATGGGGAAGCCCCCTCAATGTAGGAGGAGCCACTAATGGAGAAGCACCTTCATTGTAGGAGGAGCCCCCTAATGGAGAAGTCCCTCACTGTAGAAAGAGCCCCTAATGGAGAAGCCCCCTCACTGTAGGTGGAGCCACCTTCAAAGTAGGAAGAGTCCCTAATAGAGAAGCCCCCTCACTGTAGGAGGAGCCCCTAATGGAGAAGCCACTCACTATAGGACTAGCCCCTAATGGTAAATCCCCTCACTGTAGTAGGAGCCCCTAGTGGAGATTGGTTTGCTGGATTTATTTTAGATAATGGATGGGGGCGTGCAAAACATATTGACATGTTACAAGGTTTCATTAAGGCAGAATTTGCCTACCTTTTTATGTCAGAGTTATCGATGTATTGTTTACCCACTGTACATCATTGTATTCTGACCCTTTATAAATAAAAACTAATAACATTTCCAGCGTAACTGATTTGGTTTAAATGTTACAAGTCACTTCTTAATTCACCAAAACTCATGGTTAAATTATGAAGCATTCCTAATTTCCTGGGCATATTAATGAATCTTTCACCGGATCCGCACCACCTGACCAGCATCTCCTGGATTACAAGTTACAGACTGACCCCATAAACCCATTAGATAAAATAGAATTGAGAAAGCTGCCTCTCCCAATAGACATCCCTGCTAATATTTAATAGAGTATTCTGCCCCAACCGAAATAATGTTCAAAGAATATTCTCAGCAATGTATAATCCCAAAAGGACCAAGAAAATCTGATTCAATCCAGGACTTGGGTTAAAAATATAACATACCTTGTTATTCTCATGACTCGTGCCAAGTGCGATTATGTTAATTTAATTATTTTCCAGTTGTATTTTCCCAGAATAAAAGCTAGATTTCTTTTTTTAGAGTGGTTGATATCACTGCAACCAATAGAAGGAATTTCTTAAAACTTCAGTAAGATCAAGAGTCCTGGATTCAGAACAAAACATTTAAATTCCATCGTGTTCAGAGCTTTTTCCCACAACTCTAAAATACAAGATTTTACATTGAATCCCCAGTTTATCTATTAATGTTATCTAGTGATGTTTGCAGTTGTCTGGCTAAGGGAAGCTATTTGTACATGATCAGTCTTACCAGCAGTTTCCTTCAGATCAAAAGAAAATCACTTAGATTACATTGGGATTTGGAAATAAAGGCTAGAGGAAATGGAGAGGGGCTGAGAGGATTGGGTGGAAGAACATGCAGTATTGGAAGAAGAAAGAGGAGAGAGAAGGACTTGGAGAGAGAGGATGGAGGACAATAAATAAAGTCAGAATGCAGGAGAAGGGGACAGGGTTTTTTTTAGTCTCTGTGATGGACTGAAGATGCCATCCTTCTCAAATGCCAGATGGTAAATAAAAAGTACTGTCCAGCAGCTTGGGATATTCATACTTTCTTCCACCACCCATACACTGATGTAATTTAACATCTAAAGTCTACATAGTGGTCTCACTCACTGCCCAATAAAGAACTGGTAGCTTCCAGGACAAGACTTAACAAAAGTTAAGTATTAGAAAGATCTCAGGTATGTTCTTTGAACCTGTCATTTCCTGTAATTTCTTAAACAATGCTGGGAACGTGCCAAATACTACCCTTTACAGCTCTCAGATCAGATTCCTCCTCCTGCTGAACCGTGAGAGTCTGCTGACCACAAAGGGCATTTATCGCTGGCATGTCTATCTGCCACTCTTAACCTCATCGCTAGTCTGTAATCTTCTGAAGACAACATGTATCTCTGCACTACAAGGCACTCATCAAACACCTAATGGCACTTCACACCTTCTGCCACAGACATTTACAGAGCCAGCTTGGTCACTATGTAATACTGGGTGGGGGCCAAGTGGTTCTAGGAGATTTGATTGTTAGTATAAAAAGCTGTGCAATAAAAAGGCCCATCAACTTTCTAAAACCTCCCTTTTGCCCTGTTCTTTTATCTAATGGCAATACTGATATTACTGTCCCTGTTAATCTCATCTCCTCGTACCATGGCAAATTCCCACATATATTACTTATAGCTAAAATAATCAGCCCACCACTGGGAACCGTGGAATTTCTGCATGTGATCAACCAGGAATAGATGTTGTATACACTGTTACAGTATCAGGTGAGACTTAAATGTCAACACAGCAGATTTATATCCACCCAGTGGTTGATCGAATCTCCCGTTGGCTGGTTGACCATTCTGAAACAAATATTTTAAAATTATAGGTTCCCCAAACATGTGCCATTCGTAAAGGTTTCAGTCATTTCTAGCCAAGCTACAGGAGTCACAGAGAAACTGGAGAAGGTGTTTGGAAGGAGGCAGCGTTGAGAAGTCTGGGATTTGAAGGCTCTAAATGTCTTTACAGGAATATTCTCTGTCTGCCTCAGCCAGCTGGGGATGAATGCCTCGGCCAGTCGTTCAGTGTGTTTGTCTCTCCTAAAGGGCTTGTGGGACAGAGTCGCCATCGAGAAAAAAAAAGAAAGAAAAAACTGCTGACGTACTTGTCAATGTTATATCATGGATTCTCTCATATCCACAGTTATATCCAAGATGTTCCTCAGTAATAAAGATCCGATTAATTTCCCAAAAACCCATAACTACACAAGAGCAGATTTATGTACCAAACGCCCATAGGCCCACAAGGCTAGACTGTTGACCTGAAGCCATTACGCACAAAGGTTTAGATCCAGGATTTCTAAACTGCCCCTTTGCACATGGGTTTATTTCTATGCCAAGAGCCCATAGTCTCGCAAGGTTAGATTTATAGCCCAGAAACCTCTAGGCATGTCCAGTCATATTCATACTCTAGAAGATTATAGGCACACCAGGTAAGATTTATATACCAGAAGCCCACAGGCAAACAGCGTGAGAATTATACCTCAGGAGCCCATTGAAACCATTACGTTTACACGTTCAGATGTATATCTTGGGAGCAGATCCATTTTGTACATAGGCCCAGCAATGCACTCCAGTTATAGTAAACTGTATTTATTATGATATTAACAATACTACAAAAGGATTGAGCTGACACTGATGGGATGAGGTGCCTATGAAGCCACCTATGGCCCAAGTAAGTAATTTGCCATTTAAATCAGACAGAAGTAGGTTGTGCTGCAGAATGTACATTTTACAGCAGACAGACAAGGTTGGAGAGAGTTTGCAGAGTAAAGGATAGATGTGGAAAGCAGACAATACGAAAGAGATAAACTTAATGAAAGGTTTACCAATTCCTGCTAAAAAAAAAAAAAAATTAAGCCATTTAATAGATCAACAGAGGTTAATTAGAAAGAAAAGATGAGTATAAAAGGATTATTTTCCTTTAGTAGAATCAATAATTAGACCTTACAATAAACCGATCTATTTCCTTCCATGTTATTCTAACTTGTACATTTTTGGCACCGAATGCAGCCACAATAACGGCCTATCCTTCGTTCCTCATTTTATTTACTTCTTGGCTTTGTTGATAAAACTCATGTGTTGTTCTTGGCTTTGAACAGTAAACTGACATAGTCGGGCAACTCACAGATTACATCTTTTTTTTAAGTAATTACGAAGAATGCTTGCCTGGCCTTTTCAAGGGCCAGATGTAGATGACCATAACAATGCATTGGGTAACGGGAGTCGAACAGACATGCATTGCAACAGTTAAATAGCATTGTGTAAGTACAGTATGTTATTGGGCGGCTTATCTGCTCCCCTAGGGAGAAACATTCAATAGTACAGAAAATCTCATCCCTGCTTATCTCCAGCTGGCAACATATGACTTCAATTGAGGACACTAACAAAAAGATACAACATTTTCCAAATAAATGTTAAGTCCCACGTCAATATATCTACTTTGTGATGTTATAGGGGCTTGATCACTATTGAGTAATTCCCCAAAACAGACTTAAAGGGACACTGTAGTCACCCAGACCACTTCAGCTCAATGAAGTGGTCTGGGTGCCAGGTCCCCCAGGTTTTAACCCTTTAGATGTAAACATAGTTTCAGAGAACTTGCTATGTTTTCATAGCAGGGTTAATCCAGCCTCTAGTGGCTGTCTTCCTGACAGCTGCTAGAGGCGCTTCTGCGAATGAATGCGAAAATCCAGGTGGGTGGGACCTAAGGGTCATATAGTGTCAGGAAAACAAGTTTGTTTTCCTGATACTAAAGTGATCCTTTAAAGAAACACTCCCAGCACCATAACTACTAAAATCATGGTAGTGGTTATGGTGCCAGGAGCTCCCTGACTATCCACCCCATTATAAGTAGGGTTTCATTGGCTGAGAAAATCAGCTGATCACTTTCAGCCAGTGAGCTAAGCCCTGCAGAGCTTTAGATCAGACAACCCGCTTCTGACTCTTCATCATTTGTATTTGAGGCTGGGAGCAGTGTCTAGTGGACCACAGGTAAGAAGTCAAACTGGTCGTCTGCGTACAATGGAGGCACCATAAACACTACAGTGACTTTGTTATGGTGCTTGAATTGTTCCTTTAGGCCTTCCACTGAATAGGAGTGATGTAAAATAAGTGGAGGAAAATAAGAGTGAGAAATTGTATGTGGAGGAAAATGGTGGAGGTGTTGTGTTATAGAATGGTGGATATGTTATAGAGGAGAATGGTGGAGATGCTATGGTGGAGGAGAATGATGGATATGTTATGGAGGAGAATGGTGGAGATGCTATGGTGGAGGAGAATGGTGGAGATGTTATGAGGTAGGAGAATGATGCAGATGTTATGGATGAGGAGAATAATGGAAATGTTATGAATGAGGAGAATGGTGGAGATATTATGGAGGAGGAGAATGGTGAAGATATTATGAAGCGGAATGGTGGCAATGTTAAGATGAAGGAGAATAGAGAAAAATGGTGGGCATGACTTGTGGGAAAGCGAATTGGTATGAAGGAGGAGACTGGTGAAAATGTTGGAGAGAATATTTGATTGGTGCATGTTTTATAGTAAGAGGAATGATGGAGATGAAAAAGGGGCATAATTGTGAGAATATTTTGGTAGAACAGTGGTGGAGAATGTATAAGAGCATAGGAGAGGGCTGGTATGGGGGAAGGATTTGGAAGAGGTAGGATGCATGGAAATAGGTGAGATGATGCAGTGAGAAGAAATAGCATGGGGGAGAGAGAAAGACAGGATAATGAGATTAATTATCAATTATATGGGGGTTTAAAATGGCAGATATGACATGGTGGGTTGAGGGGTGAGATGGTATGGCAACTGTGCTGTGGGTAAAATGGTATGGGCCATGTGTTGGATGAGATGGTGTGGACAATGTATTAGGTGATATTGTATGAGAAGTATGTTGCATGAGAAGTCACGGGCAGTATGTTGGGCAAGATGGTGCGAGTGCTGGACTGGGCTCTGGATGAGATGGTACGGGCAATGTGTTGTTTGGGATGGTGTGGGCATTGTTTTGGTTGAGGTGGAGTGGGTACTAGGCTATGGGTGAGATGTGTGGGCATTGTGTATGGTGATATGGCATGAGTACTGGGCTATGGGTGTGATGGTTTGGGCTATGTGTTGGGTGAGAAGCCTAGGCAGTATGTTGGGCAAGATGGTGTGGATACTGTGCTATGTGTGAGATGGTATGGTCATTGTGTTAGTTGATATGGTGTGAGTACTAGGCGCTGGGGGAGATGGTGTGAGTACTGGGCTCTGGAAGAGATGGTAGAGACATTGTGTGAGTACTGGGCTCTGGAAGAGATGGTAGAGATGTTGTGTGAGTACTGGGCTCTGGAAGAGATGGTAGAGATGTTCTGTGAGTACTGGGCTCTGGAAGAGATGGTAGAGACGTTGTGTGAGTACTGGGCTCTGGATGAGATGGTAGAGACGTTGTGTGAGTACTGGGCTCTGGATGAGATGGTAGAGACGTTGTGTGAGTACTGGGCTCTGGATGAGATGGTAGAGATGTTGTGTGAGTACTGGGCTCTGGAAGAGATGGTAGAGACATTGTGTGAGTACTGGGCTCTGGAAGAGATGGTAGAGATGTTGTGTGAGTACTGAGCTCTGGAAAAGATGGTATATGTGGGCATTGTGTTAGGTGAGATAGTCTGAGTGGTAGAGTTGGGTGAAACGTTTACAATTCTGCTACCTGTCATCCCATATAAGCTTACTGTTTAATGAATTACTGACTTGGGGAAATATGTAAATTTTAACATGTAATATTGATAGAGCACTTGGAAGTACTACGATGTATATCCTTGGTTCCATTAATTTCTTAATAAACATTATCTCTTTTGTCCCCACAAGTTTTGAACATGTCTGTACAACTCTGCACTGCCTGTTGGTGCTTTCAAAACAAATGCCAACACCAGTCTGAGATTTTCATTCTGCGGTAATACTACTACAAAAAAAAAAAAAAAAGGCTGCAGCCAAAATAAACAATCTTTAAAAGCAGGTTTCAATGTGATTTCAGGTTTATCTACCGACATGCTGTTAAACTTTAATTCTTTCTGTCTTCGCACTGATATGATAACACAAAGGATAACTCAGAATTCTCCTCTATACCCCTGGACCCTATTACTGCTTCATTTCATGTTATCGTCCTTATGTAAACCATGTAAGTACAGTATCATTCAGTTTATATGTTTCTGTGATTAGAGAGCGCTGTTTCTTTAATTCACCGACACCACGCACTACCCACCTGTTTGGAAACCTGAAGAGTAATAACCTGCTTTGGACACATTTTACCTCTAATCACCCAATATCCATCATGTTGTGCAGCTAAAAGCCATACAGATCCCCCTTCTCTAATCTGCAGTTTGTTCTTCACCCATTTCCTCCAGAGATATGATGTTATTAATGAATCTCCTATGAGCATAGAGTTACTTGTAACATTCTTATAGAACTCATTCCTTCCAAAACAAACACAACAGGAATCCTAAAATCTGCTAGAGCCATGCGAAGGCTGATTAACCCTTTGCGCCCCACAATTATTTATTGATAACAATTGCCGCTTATAAAAATCCCCAGAAATCTACTCTGATTGGTTAAATTGTTAATACAGGCTCCCAGTACACAATACCAAATATCCGATTCATTTAATGAAATGGCTGTAAATAAGCTGTCACGTTTCCAAATCACCCGCCCTGCTTCTGTTATTTTTGCATTGAAATGTAATTACAGTTAATAATCAGTTTCAATGTATTTTCCCTGGGCATAATATGTGTATTGTCTTATTTTGTTCAATAATTCTAAGTCATAAATAAAAAAAATAAAAAAAATTTCATTATAAAAATTTTTTTTTAATGAAATTGCAGTTATTATTTAGCTTATGAAATGAACTAAAACATATAACATTGGTTCGTACCATTAAAATAATATGATTTCAGACAGGTCAAGGCACCCACAGAAACAAACCCCTCTAAATGATTCCACTGAAAGGCATCACAACCTGCAGGCTAGTTATGAATGGATGTATATTGGAATAACTCTCTGATAAGGAACTTTATATGTAATTTAATAATTTTATTATATTTGTGTTAATAACAATTTCATGGCTTTCAAAGTACTTTTAGACATGGATCATAACTATATTCACTGAGATACAAATCACAAGTTTAGACATCATTCCTGCTAGCTCTGATTGTTGCAACATGTCATCTAGCGCCCCCTAATGGCTCACCTGTTTAGTGAAGAGGATGGCTGTGTCCCAGTATTCGGGGTGCTTGTCACTCACTTTGTTCCATTTCTTTTGCCAGCTGCAGAAGCTTCTCAGGGTCATGGCTGCATTGGTCGTGACTTTGGGTCCCTTACCGTCATCTGTCAGCACCATAAACTTTACCACCGCAATGTTAATGGGGTTCTGGATACTGGGGTGTTTGTACAAACGAGCTGCGGTGGCCATCAAGGTGAGCAGGTAAAGCTGAAGGTCATCCCCATGAAATTTGAGCATTGTTTCATCAGCTACAATCAAGGTCTCTACGTACCTTGTGATGGATGCAAATCTCCTGGATCTCTGGCCACCGCCTGTCCTGGTCCCATTTGATGGTCTTTTGTTGTGGCGGGAGCCTTTGTATCTCTCTAGAGCTTCCAAGATACCATGGTTCAACCCTGATCCCACACCACATCGGGAGGTGGCACCTGTTGAAGGACTATTGTTTTTTGTGCGCTGCAGAAGATGTGGCCTCTGCAGAATGCCTTGCACCTGTTTCAATGTACTATTTTTTAGAGGGCTGATGACATATTCCACTCCTTGGTATCCAAAAGCTCCTCTTAGTCCACCACAAAGACTCAGAGCGGCAAAGGAATCTCGGTCAGAATTGACATCTCCAGAGTAGAAACAGTGTTTCAGATGTGTTCCCTGTTTAGGAACCGAGCCAGGAAAATGCATCGAAAACGCCGGGGCTATAAACTGGGCATCGGGTCGCAGGTTCAGGTAGAAATCCTCTTGAAAAGCTGTGATAAGGAAAATTACTCCTGAATCTTCATTGTCTGTTCTGAAATAGTGTCGTCCATTTAAGTCTGGATCTAACATCTTAGGGGTAACCAACACCCCATCCAAAGATGAGGACAGAGATGGGCTGAGAAGGAGTAGGTCCAACGCAAGCAGAGAGGTGACCGCAGCCAGATGTGTGGGCATAGTGAAGGTGACTCAGCCACAAGTCATCCAAAAACTGCAAAATTAAATATACTGCAGAGCGAGAGGGGAAAAACAATGCGAGTACTTCAAATCATATATTCCTAGGGAACTATTTGGGGAGACGGGAGAATTTAATTAAAAATCTGATACTTCTGCATACCGAGTCACAGGCGGGCAATTATTTTGTGTTTTGTATTTTGTTTATATAACGAATCGTTTAGAGAGAAATCACAAGGGTTTTAAAAAAAATTAAATGAAAAGGAATATATCCAAAAGGTTACAATGAATGTAGAGAAATTAAACTGGTCATTCTCTCTTCCAATAAAGCTGGACTAGTGACGGTTTGCAGCCAGAGAGACAGATGTTTCTGTAGAGCTACGATCACGTTCTGTGCTGTAAGGTACCTGCTTACAGGCAACATCAGCCTTTACTACGGCTTTATATACATTTCTGTTCTGTGCAGATTGAGTTTTTTTTCTGGGAGGTGCTGGGAACGTTTATTGGGCCTGCCTTTGCCACTTGGAGCTTATTATCACACACAGAGTCACAACCTCCCTCTTATTGCCGGCAGGCTTAAAGAGACAGTTTTCTTTAGCCAGTAAATTCATGCATCTGTTACAAACAGCTGGGATTTTTTTTGCTTCATAAAGTTTTCCTCTCTGCGAAATGTTTGCAAACTGTTAGATTTTAAAGGCAATTAATAACTGCGTTCTCCTAGGATTTCTCCTTTACTGTCAGTGACTTAGCTGATAGAAATGTTTTCTTTGTGGTTTTTATTTTTTGACATTTTGAAACTTTTTTTTTTTCAAGCCTGCAAGAAAGAGCCAAATGCAAAGAGTTTTTATTCTCCCCCCTCCCTTTTTAAAAAAAAAATAAATAAAAAGATTTTTAAAGATTTTATTATGAATCCATTTTCTATATTAGCAGAACATTATTTAAAAGTTTATTTTTCAGTCTTCTCAACTTTCATTCAGATTTTTATGGATTTTTAAGAGATATTGGAGGTAAATCACCTGTAATACGCATTTTCCATTTTGTGAAACTTTTTCATTTTCTTAATAAGGGATTTACGAAGTAAAGGGCAAAGAAGCCAAGTTTGAGAATATTTTACTATTTGTAAAATATTGCTATAAATGAACATCTTGTATAAATCTGTGATCTATGGTTTCAGCTCCGTTGAGTGCCGATGCAAAATAATGAAGTATTGCAGTTTCTTTTAATACATTTTGTTTTTGTAGTTGCAAGCTAATAATACCTGTGGCATGTTGTCATAAACTACATATCCCATAATGCTTAGACAGATTAGGTATAATTCCCATGTTGCAAACATCTGCGGTGCAAGGTTACCTGCCACTGATGTAAGAAGTTCTGATTAATTGCTACATTGTGCAAAGAGCTCTAGACATGAGCGGTAAATAAAAACAGTTAAAGGAGTCAATGTAATCACGTTATTAAGCACTGCTCTGTTTGGACAGCAGGGGTCTCCATGTAAATAAAACCTATCCTTGTCACTGTCACCCTTCTGAGATTGGGCGGGGGGCTATTTAATTTTGGCAGCTTACAGTAACTAGTCCGTCCTAGTAAGTGGGTAGGGTGACCTCTTAAATACAGGGTTTCCTAATTCCTTGGGACCTTTCCAAAAACTCATTAGCCCAGTTGAATGGATGCTATGACTGTGATGATGGGACAGAGCATTGCAGCAGTATTGAGGGGGAGGAGGGGGGTTCTACTGACATAACAAGGGCAATATAACAAGATCTAGTGACTAGCAATGTTTACAGTGCACCAGATCGGGCTAATTACCACATTTACTAGAAGCTGGGTAAATGAAGTCAGCCTCTATTTTAAGCCTGTTGGATTAAGTTTCCACTAAACTGGTGCTTTAATGTACAGTTACATTCTAGCCTTGCTCTCATACTCTGCCAGCCTAGAATAGCGTGTGTTCTGTATTTATTTCCATAAAGCCTCAGCGTTACTCATTACAGCAGCAAAAGTAAAACACACATTACTGAAACACGGGCAATAAATGGCATTGCCCTCAACCCGCTGCTAGCTCAGATCCAAATGCAGTCACGGATAACCTTGGGAGCCCTTACTGGCTAGCTGAGCATCATGGCACATGGAGTTCAAAAACATTTGGAGTGTCAAAGTTGTCCATCGCTGGCATGGAAGTCGCGGCACGGGTGTTTACTCAGAGAGGCATTTCCTCTCTTTATTAGTATCCTGTTTGTGCGTCGAGCTCTGTGAAGCGGTTTGTAAGCAATGTATCTTTCATTAATTCTGGTATCAGCGGTTTATGTTTTAATTGGCTATCAGTTCCAGCAATCCTGCACTGCTAGCTCAATCACTCCCTGCCTTCATTTCCTCTCAGGTCATGGGAACACGCCAGGTTTTGAGAAAAATAAAGGATGCGGTAACAATGCTCTGCAACTGTCCATTAAATTGGCTTGGTGTCCTCGGCACTAGGATTCCAGATCCGTTATGTTGTAATGTTCTAGCAGCAGTATGAATTAATCAGTACGTCCCAAGTGTCCCGAATTCAGGAGGACTGAATCTCAATTTATGGCCACTATCTAGCCATCCCTGGTTGGCAGAAAGAGCAGGTCAGGCAATTTCATTAAACAAGAGTGATGCAGCTGTACTCTGCATACTGACAGCTGGGATGGATGGCAGCTGAGCAGGTTATCAATGTGCCAGCAACCAAGGGCACATACGTACCAGCTGACATGCCACATTTGTGGATCATGCACGCCATCTGTGTCACAATTTGCCTCACTAACGCACTTCCATTACGGCAGAACTCTGATTACATGCCTCTGACCATAAGGTTGTAAAACGAGTTTAATGATTTAATCAAAGCGGGATCAACCTTGAAATTACCATTTGTAGAAATACGGGAAGAGTTTCCTCAGCTTCACGCTGGGCAAAATATCCTTAGGAACAAGAGTCCCACGAATATTATTCCAGCTGTATTTTTCCACGCACCGTTCATTTTTAGGATTTTTTTTTCTCCCAAAAACAGAGCTCATTAGTTTGTGTGTTACTTTTTAGTAAATATTAGGTAAACCTGAATGATTTCTGAAAATTCCTGAAATACCGTAAATTCTCCAGGTTAAAAAACCACAACAATCGCAAATATTCCCGGCCCTGCAGCGATTGCATCTCACCATGTGTTGTTGGTTCCTGCAGCCTTGAACGGGTTAAGAAACCTTACTAATAACCAACCAGCCCCCTCCGATTTCCATAAATGCCTTGTATCCTCGGGGCTTAAATAAAGGACCAGTGATTTAAAGCGCAGGGCGAAGACGGTGCAGAGTGCTGTCTGATTTTCCTGCCAGGATGCAGTGTGAGATTCTGTCCAATATTACATATAGAAAGTTTAAAGACAGATGTTGAGCTGAGGATCTGAAAAAATAACTGTATTGTAGAATAGCTAGGTTTTGTTAATACTTTGTTTCCATGTCTTCCATCTGTTAATGAATGAAGAGATTTCCAGCCCAATGGGGCAATTAAAACATAGCTGATTTCTGGGTAAAATCACCCCTACAGTGCGGGTTATTAGTTTTATTAAAGGAACACTACAGCACCAGAACTAACAGCTTTATGTAGAGATTCTGGGACACACGTATAGCATGTCCGTGCATCTTCTGAGAAGAGGTAGTGTTTACATTGCTGTCTAACATCACCTGAATTGACTGTCACTCAGACCATCAATCACTTGGACAGCCACTAGAGGGACTCTCTGAATGAAGTCCTGCACAGATTGTGTCTAAACGTTCTGCATGGAGACACTGGATACTTCCCATAGAGATGCATTGAGTCAGTGAATCTCTGTGAGGAGATACAAATTGTTTGGCGATTTATTGCGCATGCTCACTAGCCTCCTAATTGTTTCCTATGGGAATTTAGGAAGCTATGGATTGTCTGAAATTATCAGGGTTGATTATCTGAGCCATGTGAGGAGGACAACTGGCGAACAGCGGACAAAAATGACGTGTTTTTTTTTTTTTTTTATCCCAGGAGGAGGAGGGGGGCGTAAATTAAATAGATTGTTTATACTCGTAACGCTATAGTGTTCCTTTACGTTCTTCCCCAGTTCTGCACCAAGAAAATGGACACCCCCTTAACAACATTAGTAAACAGTGATAGTATATAATAAATACATTTAACTTCTAATTTTTTGCCAAAGCCAAGCAATAATGTCTGAAAGAGCAGTAACGTTCTGTATATAAAGCAATATCGTTTCTTATATAAAGGAGTAACGTTCCTTATATAAAGGAGTAACGTTCCTTATATAAAGCTATATCGTTTCTTATATAAAGGGGTAACATTCCTTATATAAAGCAGTAACGCTCCTTATATAAAGCAGTTACATTCCTTATATAAAGCAGTAACGCTCCTTATATAAAGCAGTAACATTCCTTATTTAAAGCAGTAACATTCCTTATATAAAGCAGTAACATTCCTTATATAAAGCAGTAACGCTCTTTATATAAAGCAGTAACATTCCTTATATAAAGGAGTAACGTTCCTTATATAAAGCAGTAACATTCCTTATATAAAGCAGTAACATTCCTTATATAAAGGAGTAACGTTCCTTATATAAAGAAGTAATGTTCCTTAAATAAAGCAGTTACATTCCTTATATAAAGCAGTAACGCTCCTTATATAAAGCAGTAACATTCCTTATATAAAGCAGTAACATTCCTTATATAAAGCAGTAACGTTCCTTATATAAAGCAGTAACGCTCTTTATATAAAGCAGTAACGTTCCTTATATAAAGCAGTAACGCTCCTTATATAAAGCAGTAACATTCCTTATATAAAGCAGTTACATTCCTTATATAAAGCAGTAACGCTCCTTATATAAAGCAGTAACGTTCCTTATATAAAGCAGTAACGCTCCTTATATAAAGCAGTAACATTCCTTATATAAAGGAGTAACGCTCCTTATATAAAGTAGTAATGTTCCTTATATAAAGCAGTAACGCTCTTTATATAAAGGAGTAACGCTCCTTATATAAAGCAGTAACATTCCTTATATAAAGGAGTAACGTTCCTTATATAAAGCAGTAACGCTCCTTATATAAAGCAGTAACATTCCTTATATAAAGCAGTAACATTCCTTATATAAAGCAGTAACGTTCCTTATTTAAAGCAGTAACATTCCTTATATAAAGGAGTAACGTTCCTTATATAAAGCAGTAACGCTACGTATATAAAGAAGTAACATTCCTTATATAAAGCTATATCGTTCCTTATATAAAGGAGTAACATTCTTATATAAAGCAGTAACGCTCCTTGTATAAAGCAGTAACGTTCCTTATATAAAGCAGTAACGTTCCTTATGTAAAGCAGTAATGTTCCTTATATAAAGCAGTAACGTTCCTTATGTAAAGCAGTAATGTTCCTTATATAAAGCAGTAACGCTCCTTATATAAAGCAGTAATGTTCCTTATATAAAGCAGTAACGTTCCTTATATAAAGCAGTAACATTCCTTATATAAAGGAGTAACGTTCCTTAT